TCACAGCTGCTTGGGAAGGAATCTCAGGTCCAGCCCGTCTTCCCTGGGCACACGAGCCAAGTGGGATCTTTAGTTCGGAGCCATCAAAGAAAGAGACAGAGGTCTGGTTCAGTCGGCTCCAAATTAAAAACAGGCAGCCACTTTTCTGCTGAGCTTCCGCCTAGTGTCTCCAGCAATAACCGGGAGCCTGAATTGCTCGAGCCTGTCTGGGGAGACCTGAGTTTAGGTAAGGATCGCCGAGTCAGTGCGGATCTTTGATAACATTGGATTTCAGAGACCCTGCTCCCTCCTGAGAAAGTAAGGTTTAAACAACTGTGTTTACGTACAAGGCTCTCCCAGTTCATAGTCTTGTCATTTGAGCTGTGCGTAGCCCAGATTTATTTGGCAGCTTGCATTTCAGGTTGCCATGACGGATTTGAGCTAATAAACCTCATTAGAGGGGAGCTGCCACTCATTGTGTGAACCTGTGCTGTGTGTTTAAATGCAAATATTTTGAGCCTTTAAAAGTTTATAAGGCAGCCATTTTTTCTGTGTGTGTTTAGCGTCTGCTGCCCTCCATGTAATCCTTCTATTTCTCATGAAGCCGAGTATGGTTACAAGCGACAGGAGGCCATTTGGCTGTCTAGCCTTCGGTAGTTAGTATCTTAATGATACAGGAATCTCTTTCAGCTGTTTCTTGAAGGGAGCCAGGATTTTGGTTTCATTAACATTGCATTTTCAATGGATTGTCATTGTTTTGTATTGTTTGCACATACTATACTGTATACAGGTATTGCAGTTTATAAAATATGTAATATCATAATTAAGAAGTCTCCACTGAAACTCTGAAAAAGCTTCATAAATATGATGGTTATAAATCAGAAATGACATACCTGGTTATAAGATCACTTTATTAGCCATATACAATTTCTTGCATTAGGAATTTGTCTTTTCGCATACCCCAGCTTGCTCTCCATGAGACACACAAATGGGAGAGAGAAGCTGGGGGTCAGAGCGCAGGGTCAGCCATTTATACAGCGCCCCTGGAGCAGTTGGGGTTAAGGGCCTTGCTCAGGGGCCCAACGGTGTAGGATTCCTCTGCTGGCTGCGGGATTTGAACTGGCAACCTTCCGGCCACAGGCACAGATCTTTAGCCATAGAGCCACCGCTCCGCTATAATGAAGAAGGTTCCACAACCGAAATGTTGTTTCTTTTCTTCTCTTTTCAGCATGGAATAAGCCTTTACTTGTTCCATAAATCAGAAACTTCTTGATGTTATTTCAGTTATCAACAGCTATCCAGACACCAGAAACAGTAAAAATGTCTCGCATTACATCGGATAAATTAGTCATCGTCTTTTCTGGTTGTGTCTGAACTTTTCCGTGCACGAGAGCGAAGAGGCCACCAGTTTGGCTGGATGTGGCGCAGGAAAGACCACTTTTTCTCACTCTTTTTTCCCCCTTTCCTTTCGGGAACAGACAGGCGCATCTATCACCAGGGTGGGGAGCTCCTCCTCGTTGGAAACGAGGAGCCGGTAGAGATAGTGATCAGCGACGATGAAGACGATGCCTTCTTTGAAGCCGTCGTTCGATCTGCTCAGATGGAGGAGGATGAAATGCTGGCAAGACATCTCCAGGTAAGGGGCATTTCTGGCAGGTGTTGTGCCTACAGGTGCTCTACTAGATACCCCGGGCCTTGTTTCCTAGAGATTACCAGACAGACAATCAAACGTGGGTTTTTACATGTACAAAGTGCTAACCTAGCTAATTACATCGGTTTTAATATAATTAAAAACTTTGCCCAACTCCCCTCACACACTTCACATTTGCATACTGTAGGGGTAGTTTACAAATCACCAAAGACTTTAATTTTCCAAACAGCTCTTTTGACTCATTAGGTAAATAAGTTCATTTAATTTTAAGCACAGTTGAAACTAAACCCACTGCTGACTCTACCTGCTATAGACTTCTAGCAGCTCTGTAGTGCTGTGGATTTTGTGTGCCTGAGTTGTTTTTATCTTATATTCAGAAGAACTCAATATGGGGACAATCTTTGGTAGAGTTTGAATGAGAGAGTTTAATTGCTGGGTTATTAAATCTTGTGTGTAGGTGCATTATTTCTGCAACTTCCCTTATGGGATCAATAAAGTATCTATCATTGTTTAAACTGTGCGCTGAATGGGTTCTATTCAAGGTCTAGATAAAAGCAGTTCTCAAATGTGCTTCATATATCTGTGGTTCTCAAGAGTCCTAACACCTTTGCAAAATACTTCAGAGACTGTTTAAAAACTGCACATTCATCATTCAGAAACAGATTAATCTGTCATGGAGTAATGATAAGCATGTTGTTTTTTTAAACTAGAGTAAATGACTGGTTTCTCCTGACCTCTTTAATTAGATATAGCCCTAAAGCATTTTGTGTGGCTGGTTTACAGCTATGTGATGAAATTGAACAATACTTAACAGACTGGTAGATCTGTGCTATAGCAGCAGTTTGGTTGTTTCATCAATGTAACATATAAACATTAGTTTGCGTCAGGAGATGATCTTATGACGAGCTTTTTATAATTTTTTTTGGATGTGGTATGTCACAGATTTTTTCCTTTAGGCTTTTTTGTGATTCTGGTTATAGGTCCAGACCCCCACCATCTACTGTTCCACTAATTGTGTTGTGATGTTTCTTGATTTGTCTTTCCAAGGCTCAGTTTGATAGAGAGGAACAGCTGGATCAGGACTCATTATCCAGGAGATCAACACAGAGGTCCCATCCAGTAAGTGCATTAGCAGCTATCTCAGCTTCACTTTGTATTTGAACGTAAGTCGTTGCATTTTTGCTGCTTGGTTTCCTGCGCTGGTAAATTGTTGTCTTTAAGAAAAACAAAGGCCTTAGTTTTGTATGTAGAGACATTCCCAAGAAAACTAATTTGCACTCCTTCAGATTCTACAGCAAGACTGGTTGGTAATAGGTTTATTCCATGCTGAATAAACCATTCCATCAGAATGGAATAAACCTATTACTTGTTCCTTTGGAGCCTACGCATGCTGACACAGCTCCCCACCTGAACTACAAAAGACTGGTAGTGTTGTATTCTAAAAGGGAAATGCCAGCAAAGTTCCCATATGGATTCAGCTGTCTATTGTTTTTGACAATCTAGCTGGTTTTCAACTATGTTAAAAAAATATTCATCATCCATTGTCTGTATTTGAATTTTTTAACCCCATTTCATTTGGAGAGTATAATTTGGATCACGGTTTAGCAATCGCACAGATCAGGTTCATTGTGATGGGTGCGAAACGGCACAAATTAAACCCTTACACGTCTGTGTGGAAAAATGTCAGTGATACTCTGGCACCAACACAACCAACATGTATTCAAAACTTGGTGCGACCTCTTAGAGGTTAATTCCCGTACTGAAAAGTAGAAAGTGGTAAAAAAAAACTACAACAAGGGTTGAGCAGTGGAGCCTTCTTCAGGTGTGGAAGAGGAAGAGGTAAGGAGTGGTAAAGAGCTGGATAAGGAGAACAAAAGAGAGCAGGTGAGATTGGACACAGCAGGCGAGGACACGTCCAAACACATGGGAATGTGGGAGACAGTCTCGGGGAGCAGTGCGAGAATCAGAAATCTGTAAATGAATGGGGAGGTTTGAAAAGATTATTAGTCAGTCCTTGAAAGCTGGCGGCAGGCGCGATCCCGGTTTAAGGGTAGTTTTGGCTTCTGTCGTCCTCCTGGAGTGGGAGTCCTGGGATCCGTGTGAACGGATGCAGGCCGGAGGGCCAGTGTAGTCATGGCCCGGAGAAGCAGAGTGAGGAACCGTGGGCGCGGAGAGACCTCAGACCGGGGGTGCCCATCCTTTTTTAATGTAAGATCTCCTTTTTCATTTGCCAGTCCAGCTCGACCTACCAGTGATAATTTGAAGCTCTGATGTAGAAAAACAGACTGTTGACACATCAGTACAATAACCATGCCCATCAGTAAAATGACAGCAAATAAAAGCCAGTGACTCATGCTACAGTGAACAAGTAATGTTCCCCATTTTAGAAAAAAGAATATCCTACCTTAATGTGAGCATTGGCACTGAGAAGCTAACTTGAGAACACTTAATTTTTTTTGGAATGTGTTGACACTGCTGATCATGTCGATTACATTTTTATTTTGTCCCTGCAGCTCGACATTCAGCTCATTCAGCAGTTCAGTCAAGTCTGTGAGGAACGCTAAATCCAGAAAACACTGGTCATCCTCTAATTGGGCATATTCACCATGTTTAGACGACTTGAGAAACTGATTTCAGGCAACAGCTGTCTGAACCTTGCAAGAAATGTTTGTTTTTTAAACTCCAAACAGCAAGTCAGCAGCTTTAGCAAACACTTTTTTTTTAATTACTTGATCCCTGAATGACTTTTTGTGTTGAGCCAGGATGTTCCTCACACAGAACAATGCGATGATTGCCACTTTCCCTCTTGTATTAGGCCTCGTGAAAATCGACTGCTGCTAGTTTTAATTTTTCCACTTTTCTTTTCCGTAAGTCACTTTTAGCAGGAAAGTCCACATCATACGTTTTGTGTGCAGTTTTGAAATGTTGATCTATGTATCCCTTCTTCGAGTAGACGCTAGCATTGCAGATTTGAATGCGGAAAAAATAATCATGCTCCCATTCCTTGTGGTAACAGTAAGTTTTCGGTCTCTTGGCTTCATCATTTTCGCTCAGACATTACAACTATCAAATAGGCAATCAAACTTATCAAACTGTTGGCGAATTTGTCTGTTTCGCTCCGCTATACACTGTAGCAAATGTGGGGTTCGTGCGGCAATAACCAAGAGACCGTTCTTGGGTAGCACACACAACACGGAGCTCCTGTAGCCTTTTTTTCCCAGTGTCAGCCAGAACTCAGGGAAGAGACTTTTAAAACCCATTCCACACGAGTTGAACACACAAGGGTAGTAAAATGTATGACATTACATGCAGAGATCTGAATGAATTTTTAGGCTATTGAAAAAAAGTAAACAGTCAAATAGCCCATGTGTTTTTTGACCAACATTCTTGCAATCAAATTGATCGCAGTCGGCTGGTTGGGCACTCCTGCCTTAGACAGTCTCTGCTCTGATGTGTCGGCCAGTCTTCTTCCTTTGTTTCCCCAGTGTAAATGACAGAGCTCTTTCTGCAAGAGACGTAAAAACTGTGTTTGCTGGGCAACCATGAGTTTCTAAGATCTGAGTGATCTAAGATGGCAAGAGAGGCCATACATACAGTATACAATATGTGCTGCTTGGTATATATTTGCAAGTGAAACCAGACTCATTCAGGTGGGCTTACAGCTGTGAAGGATCCACTGAAGAGAGTCTAGACTCACTTGAAGGCATCTCGCAACATTTGGAGCTTCAAGGAATACTTTTATCCTTTTGTCTGGCTAATTCTTTTACTTGCTTTTTATATTTTCATGCATAATTATAGTTGTTTGAGGGTCTGTTACAACACACTTTTGAGTCTTAATTGTAAATTCCGAAGCCTCTGTTTTTCTTAAAGTTTGAGGTTTTGTTTTTCAATTGTGTGGTCTGCTTTAGCTGCATTCTGCTCCATCTGGTGACAATGGGCCTTAAGCAGATGAAATCATTTCTTGTTTCAGTGTTTCAGAGCTTTTTTTGCCATCATGAACATGATGCTCTTTGTATTGCTATAGCTAACCATGTTTATCAGCAATTTGATGTTTAATGTATACTTTTAAACCTGTGCTCTTGTTTTACTCTTTTTACTTTATCGTAAAACAGACTATGTGGCATAATTATGAAGTTTTAAGGTGTGTGTTTTGTGTCTTTTGGCAGTCTGCACAGAATGGAAGACTTGACTACAATCTTCATTTTCATCCAATGCTAACTGCCAACCATTTTGTTGCCACCTTTCCTCAGTTATCAGGATTGGGTGAGAGTATGTGCTTAATTCAGATTTTTTTGCTTCTAACCAGCGTTCATCTATAGTATTATAAGGTGATGCAGCCAAGAAGGTGAAACAGCCGAGAAATGTTTGTTAAAACATTGAAGGAAACTGGAACCTTGGTGTTATTCCAAAGCTGGCTTAAAACAATCAGTAAATACCATACACATTTATAGCAAACCCTAGTTTTAATGGACTAAATAGGAGTGAAGTTGTGTTATGACCAAATGTTCATTAAAGCACAAATGATTATATTTCAGTACAAAAGCACACTGGTGTGTGTACTTTCTTGGTCTATTAACTTATTTTTGTAGCAATCGCAACCAACACGGTAGATGATTATTGTTCCTGTAACTCTGATATAATAAATATATTAAAGCTCTTTTTATGTGTCACAAATATACTGTATAAAATTCAATAAAGTTTGAGAAACACTAACATCACCCATCATAGGCAATTGACCTACACCTAGAGGGCATCATCGGTTTTCCTGAATTTTAGCCCTATGTAGTATTTATTTTTATGTTGTTTTGATTATTTGTGCATTGTACACAGCTATTTTTACATAGTGTTTGCGTTTATGTCTAGTTTTTTTTAAATGATTGTTTTTAAATTTCAGTAAAGCATACAAAACAAAATAAGCCTACCTCTATATCTGTTGCCCTATACTTAGTCTGTTATTGCGGGAAATGTTTGGTATTTCTTCTTTTACAGACAGAATTCCCCTGTAGCAGATTTAGTCTGTTTTTCTGTCTGTACTTGTTTTGGAATTTTCATTTTTATCATTTTCCTTAAACATTTCTAGACCTATAGCCAGCAGCCTTATCACCCTGCAGCTCTCAACTGGCAGCCCACTGAAGCTCAGCAGGGTTGAGCCTGGCCAGTACCTGGGTGGGAGACCTCCTGGGAAGCTATGGTTGCTGCTCGAAGTGGTGTTAGTGGGGCCAGTGGGACCCTGTGGTCTGTGTCCTAATGCCCCAGTATAGTGACGGGGACACTATACTGTAGTGGGCGCCGTCTTTCAGATGAGACGTTAAACTGAGGTCCTGACTCTCAGTGGTCATTTAAGATACCCGGGTGTTTCTCAATAAGAGTAGGGAGTTATCCCAGTGTCCAGGCCAAATTTCCCCTCTCGGCCTTTACCGTGGCCTCCAAATTGCCCCCATGTATGATTGGCTTGCACTTGCCCTGTGATGGACTGGTGTCCTGTCCAGGGTGAACCCTGCCTTGTGCTCGTTGCTTGCTGGGTAGACTCCTGCTTCCCGTGACACCGTATGGTATAAAACGGTTTGGCTTGACATTTCTAGACCTAAATTTATCCCTTCAACTCATTAAAAGGTTGCTAAATGCAAACTAATTTCCTTAACTAGTATACGAGGTATTTGTAATATGTGAAAATCAAAGGTTCTCAGATTCATAATAACAACAACCTGTCTAATTCTGATTTAAGTCCAAGTCTCGTTTTGTTTATGAGCTTTAATATATAATCATATGTACCCTAATTATATATTTTATATCTTGGGAAACCTTATTTAAGCTTTAAATGTATTTAATTTGTAGGAAATGGTACTTACCTAAATCTGAAACGTTACCGTGCCAGAACTGTATAAATGAATTGTGCGCGTGAATACATTTTGCATGTTGATTTTCCTTTGGCAGTAGTTGCCTGTTGCAGATCAAAGCAAAGACTTTTTTTATTCAGACAGGGCAAGCAGACAGCGGCATGGACGACCCAGACAAACACAGAACGCAGTCCAGAACTTGTTTGATGACAGTCAGGGAAACAATTATGAGGTAAGAGCCCGACGATTTATTTCCCATTCTACCAATGGAACAGTTTTCTGTGGATGTAAATCCTTGTCTGATTCATCGTGTAATTTGTCAGCAGTGGCTGTTGTTTGTTACTTTTTTAAGAGCCCCGCGAGTAAGAGCTGGCCTATTTTAAAACAGCCAGCTCATGTTTTGCCTTCCTTTCCCCTTTATTTCTTTATCGACAGGCAATTCTAGCTTTTGAGGATCATCAGGGCGCAGTCGTTAGCAAGCCCAAATTGAGTAAGAGAGAGATTGAACGCCTGCCAACCAAACCTTTCAACCCTGCCTATAGTGCTGGAAAGACTGAGTAAGTAGATCCACATTTATTTAAAACCGCTCCGTAACTTCTGGTTTCCTGTGCTGTTTGACGTATTTACAGGCAGTGATAAAACTACGCTGTGGTTTTGCAAGTCCTTTTGGCCGTAGGAGTCAAATGTTGAGTGACAAAATGGCCCCATATTTCCAGGAAGGCTTTGAGACGGAATATGATTCTTGCATTAGACTGAAGAAATTAACAGATCATTTTTAGTGTTGTGTAGTTTGCTGCAAGGCATTGCTGACTGAGCCCCCCTGTGGCTCCCTTCAGGGGCAGTGTCTTAGTTAAGAGGCTCTCTCACCCCACAACCACATTCCCTTAAGAATGAAATATAGCTGTCAGGCAGTTTACAAACCCTTGTGCAGTGTCCTGAGAAGTACAACTGGCTGGTGGTGGTGCTAGGCACCCTCCCCCAGAACCAGCAAACAGTCAGCTTCTACAGCTTGCTCTTACAGTCAGCAGCTTTAACAAGTCTGTGAATCTCTAATGATAAGCATTAAACTGCATTTGCAAAAAACGCCCATAACTTCCAGGATATCTTTTGTGTGTCGTCTCGTGTGCAGAAGCCCTTGTATCAAAGAGCCTATGGGTACAACTTGAATAATCTATCGGCCCTTTGACAGGTGAAAATAATGAGAAAGGGACTGAAGAGAGCGACATTTGTGGAGAGACTGAAGAGTGAAACATACACGTCTTTACTGATTTATCGTGTCTTCTGGAAATGGCAGATAAACCTAGGCCTACTTATCTGGGTACTGATATCTACACTGACGTTCATCATTTTCGCAAGAGAATACATTTGAGAATAATATTACAACAGATGTGACATAGATTTGATAAATGGCCTTCTTTACTGATTATACTGTAAAGTATGACTTCTATTATGAAAAGGAATGATCCCCACATTAACTTCTTTCCTTTCATGACATTAACAATAATTATAATAATATCCTGGGATTTTTAATGACCACTGAGAGTCAGGACCTCAGTTGTGCGTCTCATCCAAAGGATGGCACCTTTTTAAAGTAGTTTCCCCGTCACTATAGTCCAACGTCCCTGTAGTATTAGGACCCACACAGACCACAGGGTGAGCGCCCCCCTACTGGCCCCACTAACACCACTTCCAGCAGCAACCTTAGTTTTTCCCAGGAGATCTCCCATCCGGGTACTGAGCAGGCTCACGCGGCTGAGCTCCAGCGGGCTGCCAGTTGTGAGTTGCAGGGTGATATAGCTGCCGGCTTTTCACTCTCACCACAGTACTTACAACAAATTAATTGAACAAGAACTGGTCTAAATCTGGATGGGATGAGACCAATAATGCTCTGAAGTATTGAGTGGCCTGGATGTAAGTAATTTGCAGTTTGGCTAGGGGGCTTTTCCTTTCAGTTGCCAGGTAACATGATTGGGTTCTAGAGCGTCAGCCTCATTAAGGGTCTTTACTCGAGTCAATTAGTGTGCAGAATCGTGTATTTTCTGCCGTGAGTGGGAAGCATGTTTCCCTTGGATTGGGCCCCAGTCATTGCAGACCTTCTTTCTTGGCAGCATCCTGGAATTTCATAAGCCTTCACTGGTGTGGAGTAAATTCGTCTTGCTGGTGATTTGTCAGCGCTTTATCTACCCTCCCCGATCAGCACTGCAGCTAACCGGTTCTGATCTTGCACCACAGCATAATAATAATAATAATAATAATAATAGCTCTTTTTCTGGACACTCCACTCAAAGCGCTTTACAGGTAATGGGGACTCCCCTCCACCACCACCAATGTGCAGCATCCACCTGGCAGTTCCAGATGAAGACTGCTCCCCAGCCCTCTCCGTCACAGATACACTGCGAGCGTCAAGGGGAACTTGGACTAGTTTATTTTACAAAGCAGTAGGAAGGAGCTCACTGTATCAACCAGGGATGTAGAGCAAACATTCTGCTCCAGCAGCCCCACAGCCTCACAGGTGTGGTGGAGAAGTGAGACGTTACTTCACTGAATAAGACGGAAATTTAAGATTGTTAGACTAAACGAGCATGAGGTTAGCATTTTAGTCACGCTACCAAGGTTAGCAGCCCTTGTCTTAAGGGTTGTGGTGTGGTATATTTCAATGATGTGAAGTGGGCTACATGTGTAAAAAAAGAGCCTCCTACAGTAACATGTGTCCTGCCACCATAATGGGGATTTGATTTGGAGTTTGTGGTTCAGAAGGAAAAGCTCCACCTACACCACGGCAAATCGGAGTCATTGGGAAATCAGAAGGTTACGCAGAACTGTGTAGTGTTGTGTTCAAAGCCAAATCTTATTTTTCACAAGGTGCTTCATTCAAGAAAATAACATCAACGTCCTGTTCTGTTCATGTCTCCCTTGAAGCTCGAGAGCCCCACGTTTGTACAGATGTGAATGAGAAAGTAATCGCACTTCGATATCCGTTTGCTGTGCATTCATTCCTGGGTAGTTTTTCCTCTGCTCCTCTGCGCTAGTTTGTGAACACCTGGATATTTGCTACACTTCGATGCTTTTTTAGTTGCCCTTGCAGCCTGTGGAAATGTGAATCGCGGTATATACTGTACGCGTGTAAAACACCTTTTCATTTTCCAGGTGTCAGATCTGCTTCTCTGACTACAGGGAGGGGGAACAGCTCAGGGTGCTTCCGTGTCTTCATGATTACCACGCAAAATGTATTGATCGCTGGTTGAAGGTATGCGCTTTCCTTCTTTGAAAGGCTTCTTTAGACCTGAGGAGTTACAGAACTCTTTCGAATGTGGCTTTGAATCTTCTCTGTTCATTTTTGACTTGGCGGTCTGCGTTTTGTAACTATTTTGTGAAAACATCTTGTAACCTCAATTGAAACTTCCTCAGGTCTTTTGGAGTATTGTTTTAATGATTGGGAAAAATGCTGGAATGCTAGAGAAGCCACATTCTACGGCTTTGTCAAAGGGTGCATGCAAGACTGCCATCAGGTCACTGCACTCCAGCATACGGAAATATTAACAAAGACGATCTTGAGTCATCACACCTTCAGAGGGCATCATGACTCACATGTGAGTGATGTCACATGGACGTCTTTCCACTGATAATGGGGAATTCCCCCAGGCCTTTGGAATTTTTTTTTGTTAAAAAAAACCATGGTGCGTACACATGGCATATGCTGTTCTACTAAAGGCATGGAAGTGGTTGGAATTAACAAGTGGTTGTTTGGTAGCCTTATACATCACCTGTTTTTTCCAGATTAAAACTTGACTATTTCAGCACAACAGTGTCGTTCTGCTAAATTATTCAGCTAATTAATAAATGTGAACAGACCTATTGTCTTTTCAACAAACACACTGATTACTTAAGGATCTATCTACCTTAATTAAGCTAAATTAAAAAGAAGAGTAGGCTATCAGTCACTTAAACCTGGAGAGCTGAAGTCAAAGTGGATTTTATGACATGGCTTGAAAACTTGTTTTTCATTGAGCATTGAGTTGAAAGTACCCACATTCTCTAGTTCTCAGGGACTTTGGTCGATTTTCCTACATTATTGTTTGGTAATGAATTACTATAAATTACTGATCACTTCAGTATTTGTTTAGCGCTTTATTGGTATTTACTAGCAGGTCAATAAACATTATCATTAAAAAAATAATTTCTCTTCTCCAGGAAAATGCAAGTTGTCCTGTTTGCAGAGTGGATGTTACAATTATGTGACTTGTGACACGGAAGAATTTCTGGGTTTTAACCTCATCAGTGTAAGACACCAGCCTTAACTCAATTTATACCAGTGGATGGTGGACAGTTCTGAAAAAGATAACTGATACCTCGCTATTGCAACACTTTTGTATTCTAGTTTTTGACATTTTTACTCAAGTGTACATTCATGTGCAATGTTCCAAATACTTTATAATGTGGTCTGTTTTAAAGTGTGATGCAAGAATAAACATTTAAAAACTGCATGGTTGTAATGTGTAATTAAAACCCTAAACATTTGTGAGAAAATCTATTGTAAAATTACCATGGTTGATTTTTTGGTAAAACAAATATGGATTAAAGTACTGTTCTTGAGAAAGTTTGGGTGTTCTTCATAGTGTGTAGGAATAGTGTCACGTAGGAATTGCTTTTCTATTACGGTATATGGTTACTGTCAGTATAGTAAACCAATAAAGGAGTATTTGTTGAGGTGTGTAGAGTTAAAAAAACTGAAATCACAAGAGTTTAATAACATTAGCTTTTTGGGTAGCCTCATTGATGGAGTCAGGCACATTTGATCATTGCAAACAAAGCTGTTACTTTGCTTATGTATGAGTTATCCAAACATTAATGGAAATACCCCAGTATTTTACATTTTCTTTAATTAAATTTTATTAATCCATAAAATCCTTAAGGTCTCAAATATGTATTTGTTTTATCACAAAATTATAAACCGAATTAGGATTTCAAAATGCGTGGTACAACATCACTGCCATTGAATTTTTAGTTTTAAGTTTGTGGTGTAGTGTATATGTGTGCCTACAATACTGTGTGAATATTTTGGTATTACTTGTGTGTCAGTACCAGAATGCTTGCAGAGATCTCCGGTATTGAATTTAGTGTTTAATTAATAGTGCTAAACAGGGGTGTGTAAACTGGAGTAAATCTTTAATTTATTGATATAAAAACATTTTATTGTTCCATATTAAAACCCATCTGCCTTTGTCATGTCAAAGATTTCCAAAAATTAATTTCTATAAATCAATGTGGTTGCAGTCGGTAAAGGTCTGTTTTTAATACTACATTACTCTGTTCATGTACAGTACAAAAAGCGTAGAGAATGACTAAAGATTTGTGATCCATCTCTACGTGATAAATTAAAATTCACTGTATTTGTTACAGATGGCCCATTACCAGCATCTGGACACACTGATTTCCTTGTTGAAAAGGTATATAGGATCTCTAAATGTTTTGCAGATTTTATACTCTAATGTAGCATTTCAACAGCACTTCTATTACAGTGTACTTCCTGGCATTTAGATTCCATATATATAATCAAATCCCCCTTTGTGAACCTGCAAACATGATCTTACAGTCATCATACATATTTTGTGCATGCCACACACCTTAACTAATGCCACATTCATATAAAGCACCAAAAACTAAAGCACTCTGGATGGTAAAGGAAAGTGATTTCAGTCCCATATTTCCAAGACAATTCAAAGTAATGCCGTACGAAATGATGTCCAGTGATCCTTTTGTGGCAAGAGCAATATCATTTTTTAAGTCCACTGTGATGGCTTAATTCTTAGTCTCCTCATAGTAGCGTTGCTTCATGGCTCTGTACTTTCTCAGGTAGTACAAAGCCTCCAACTCCTTGATAACATGCTCACCACGAGCTACCAACTGTTTGATCTTTTCCGGGTCCGTGACATCTTTATTTTTTAAGAAGGCTGTCTTGAGGCGATCTCGGAAGTAATCTGCACCTTTGGGGTATTCCCGTCCAAGATAAAGCAGCTTGAAATAAAAAGAGAAAGAAATGTCCTTTTAATTTCTCAATTATTTTAAGTGATTTCAGTATTATCATTTTAACATTGATCTAACTATTACATTAAAACAAAACACAAATAAAACACTATTAGTATTTATTATGGTTAATAAAACATTTTATGAATTTACAAGTCGTATGCAACAATTTGGGCACCCCTGGCCAAATTACATGTTTTGTTGATTTTCTAAGTGAAAAGAAGTCAACACAACCTCTGCAGGGAACAGACTTAAACATTTTATTTTTTTCAATCTGTTAAATTCAGCAAATAAATAGTAACTGTGCATTAAAATATGCAGAAATATGTCATGTTTAAGTTTTTTTTTTCCGCTACAGAGGTTGTTAACTTCTTTTCACTTAGAAAATCAACAAAACATGCAGTTTGGCCAGAGGTGCCCAAACCTTTGCATACAACTATTTCAATTTATAAAGGAATTATGCCATACATGATTTTCTCTACTCCCCGAACACGGGGATAAAAACTGGGTGCTGGCAACCAGAAACAAAGGTTGTACATTAGAATAAGTGCAGTCTTAAGGATATTTTAAAATTTGGAATCCAGGCTAAACAGTGGATTAGGACCAAATTGTTACGAAATATATTTAGTATCCTTTCACTAGCAACATGAGGGAAAAAGTACTGAAATTAGGTCACTATGGCAATTATGATGAACTGTGCTACAACACATTTTACACAGGAAAAATGACAAGAACAAAAAATGGTAACAGACCATAACTAACTCAAAGCTAAATCATGAAAAAATAATAAAATTTGGTTTGCATGTGACCACTGCCACATTTGCCATCAATTAATTAATTGCTTACACTTATATAGCGCTTTTCTGGACACTCCACTCAAAGAGCTTTACAGGTAATAGGGACTCCCCTCCACCACCACCAATGTGCAGCCCCACCTGGATGATGCGATGGCAGCCATAGTGCGCCAGAACGCTCACCACACATCAGCTATTAATGGGGAAGAGAACAGAGTAATGTAGCCAATTCATAGATGGGGATTATTAGGAGGCCATGATTGGTAAGGGCCAATGGGAAATTTGGCCAGGACGCTGGGGTTACACCCCTACTCTTTTCGAGAGACGCCCTGGGTTTTTTAATGACCACGGAGAGTCAGGACCTCGGTTTTACGTCTCATCCAAAGGACGGCGCCTGTTTACAGTATAGTGTCCCCGTTAAGAGACAATGCTACTGACAGTTTCTCTACATCAAACTTGTCGGACGAAGTAATGGTCGTAGGAGCTTTTCATATTCTTCAGTAAGAGAAGTCTGGAGCAGTTGGACATACACAGTCCAGGTACTTGCTCTGACCACATATTTGGTTACACCTGAATTTGATGAATCAGTAAAACACGGTACTCCCTCATTTCACACGTACTTTTCATAGTTTATCTGAATCACATAAAAATAGATTTGTAATGTCACAACATGTAAAGACTACGTTTATTTCCAGGATGGGACCAAAGCTCAGAAACACTCACACATCTGAAACATGTGTCAAAACAGTCCTGGGCTACACACTCTGTATGTAGTTTATCCTGTAGTCTAGAGTGGGGAGCTGTATCAGTGAGTGGTTTTTAGCTCGACGTCTGAAACTTGCTATTTTGTCCTTTTTACATTTAAAAAATGAATTAATCTGTAATCACTCTTTTACAAATCACTCACTGTGACAGCTCCCCAATTCTAGTCTACCATGTGTAATCAGGACAGGACAAGACACTGGAAGTAACAATGTCATTGCTGTAAACGTGCAGACAGATAATGGGGAACTCACATTCTTGTACAGTCTGACTACTTCACCTCGGAGAGGACTGGCCATTGTCACACGAACCAGACCTTTGCGGTCTTCACAGAAGGTGAAGCTGAAACGATGAAAAATTGAAACCAATAATCCGTGCAGCTGCTTAACCTGAGAACTGCAGTGACAAATTTCCTCTCTCTGTATTACCCACCTGGATTTCTGTAATTATTTTAATGGTAGAAATAGTCTATTAGGCAAAATAAGACCTAATGCAGCCTGTTAATAACGTGTAGTTATACAGTGCCTACAGAAAGTCTACACCCCCATTGGACTTTTTTTTTGTAATTGTGTTACAGCATGGAACCATGATGTATTTAACTAAGATTTTTGCCTCTCAACAACACAAAGTACTCTATAATGTCAAAGTGAAAACAAAATCCAGACATTTTACTAAATTAAAAATAAAAAACAAATAACTGAATACATACGTATTCACCCCCTTGCTTTGACACATCTAAATTACCTCTGAAGTAACCCACTCTCTTGTGCTGTTCACAAATGGTCCCCATCCAGCTTGATGGAGCTTGAGCAATTTTGCCAAGAAGATTGGGCAAACATTCCAGTCAAGATGTGCAACGCTGATAGAGACTTACCCAAAGAGACTCGCAGCTGTAATTGCTGCCAAAGGTGATCTTACCAAGTATTAACTTTTATTTTTAGATATAATTATTTCTAAAACAATTATTTTCTGTTTATTTTTAATTTCGTAAAATGTCTGTAATTGTTTTTAGTTAAATCCATCAGGTTCCATGCCGTAACACAATAAAATGTGGAAAAAGTCCAAGGAGGGTGCAGACTTTCTATAGGCACTGTAACTTTTACTTCGCTCAGTTAACGCTACCCCGGGTTCAACAAAGTGGAATAATGACACCCATCGAATATTTCTAAGTCACCAAACAAAACGTAATGGATGCGATATACCTCGAAATTTTGGTAAGAAAAAAAAAGTCGTTCGACAGACGAAGGCACAGTTTTTAAGAATTGGGAAAACCTGCAGAATAAGCAAAAGTCCAAGCAGAAACATTAGGTTACAGGAGACATGGTATTTACTTTGACTAATTCTGCCTTATCGACGACTCAGGCCTGTTCGTATTTAGACGTTTAGACTAATTTATCTATTTATTTTTCACCCAGATCCTTGACCATTACTAGGGTATGGGTTTTCGCAACTTTAGTGCATAATTCTGGAAATATGCCTTACAAAACTGGATGGGTTTGCACGGAAAAGAAATCCGTTAACGAAGGAAGGTTTTACAGTCAATGAAATGAAATGCAGTAGGTGGTGTATAAACAACTGCCTTCTTTAAAAGAAAGTAAATCCACATAATTTGGCATTCATACTGCACCTTCTAATCAACTTGCCTTTCTTCTCCTCCACCCAATAAACAACGCAATGCAAACAACGCAAATCGGTTTACAATATCGCAAACCCGTGCTGCAAACCGCCTTACGGCAGTGTAGTAAGTGCAGTGCGCGTGCTCTCGTGTTACCGTAGCAACTTGGACGCCAAACAGTGCAAGATGGTGAGTGTGGGAGCTGAGAAAGTTTTTATACCAGACATAAATATGTTTTTATCATACTATTTAAATATTATTCTGACACTTCCAACATCTTACGGTTTCTAACACTTTTGATTGTGACATTCACTGAACTACTGTGCAGATGTAGGTAAATAGGTAATTATGGTAATGTACAATACTGTCTTAAGCTGTGTGTGGACTGTTTCAGTTTATTACGCATTTTTTTAAATGAATGTTTTTTTTATCGTAAGATGAATAAAGAGAGTAAAGAAAAGCATCTCTACGTTTTCACACAAAGTTAGGCTAATGTGTTTTAAAGTAAAATAAAGAGCTTGCCAAAGTTAGCTAGTGTATATTTCTCCTTAAATTGTTTAATATTCTGTCAATGGCGTCTAAATAGTCTTTAGAATAATGTGAATAGGGACTCGTGTTTGAAACGTTTAAAACAAAATAATCGATTTTTTAAATCAAAACCCAGTATACAACATACAAACTTCTATGTAGTTTGAGTTGTAAATAAATACCGTAAATACTGTAAATCTGCTTGCAGAACCAGGTGAATAAATGCACTCTTGCGAACATAAACAGGTTCCAGAGACCAGAGGGTTTAGTGAAGGATCTCTCCCAGCCCTTTCAGGCTTTCATTGACTGCGGGGCCTACTTCATACTCCCCCAACTCTGTGTACAGATGTACCTCTGTCATAATTACGTGCGCTGCTGTGCAGCTTTCTCCTTCAGACCTCCAGTTTCCACTTGTGACATCCAGTTGATTCTGAGGAAGCCTGCTGGATAGACTTTGTGAATACGTTTGAAAATGTTACATATGTGGATCATGTCACTTCTTCATCTTCTGTGATCAAAACCAGAACGGCTCAGTTCTTTTAGCCAGTCAGCTCAGAACATCCTTTAAGTCCTGGATGTATCTGCAATCAATACCTGCACTCTTGATTCGACTGTGTTCCTTTGGCTGCCTAGTTGGATGAGTGCGCTCTTGATTCCAGTAGCTGCCTAGTTTAATAACTACACTCTTGATACCTCTCTGTCCAGTAACTGCCTAGTTTAATAGCTGCATTCTTGATTCCACACTGTCCAGTTTAGTAGCCACACTCTTGTTTCAACTCTGTGCAAGTAGCTGCCAGGTTTGCTTTTTCTCTGACCTGCTTTTCTTTTCCATTTCATTTCCTGCCCTTTAGCCGCCAAAGGATGAAAAGGTATGACTGAATGTAGCTACATCGCTCCTGCTAATGTGTGTTTTACCTTCATATTTTAATTGGGTTGAGTCTGTAATGTCTGTAAATGCTAAGATGATGTTTTGCAATGGATAATGTTCCATCAAAGGTAGCTCAGAAGCATTTTCAGTATGCTAACAACCAACATTCTCCAGCTGTTTGAGGAAATATTTCCACCAGCCAGCTTTTTAACATCAGTATTGTATGTACTATAATGGCCACAGGATGTTTATGATTATAATCTTGCACCTCATCCTAACGATTTACAATTAAACGTAGTGGGAGCTCAAATGCTGATTTACTTAGCATGTTCATTTACTTAAAGTCTGCAAAGAAGAAAGGCAAGCTCAGCAAAGCTGAACGAGAGAGGTTGCAGAAGGAAGAGGAAGAGAGGAAACAAAAAGAAGAAGGTATTCTCTATAATTCTGTACTGTCATTTTCAACTCAGTGTAGACTTAATGAGGCTTCTGTTTTCTTTTTCTAAATTCCTTTAGATCAGAAGTAAGTTTATAAGAAACTGAACAACCTAAGTTTTTTTCTAGCGTGTTATGACCATATTCTATTGAAGTTAGAAGGCCATGCTATCCTGTTTAATTGTGTTCTTTCCTAATTTCAGAAGAGGCACGACTCATTGCAGAGCAAGAGGAAGCAGAGAGATCAGAAAGGGAAAGGAAGGTCCAGGAGGAGCAAGAGAGACTTGAGTCAAAGGTCAGCGGAGTCACACCAGGCCTTGCTTCTCAGACCAGCCCCTTCACTAAAAAAAGAGATCACAAAGAATCACTCATTCTAGCTAATTGTATTCGTATGAACAAATGAAAAGAAGTAAAAAAACAATAAAATAATAATAAATATCTGCATTTTATGTTACAAATGGTGCTGACAATGTAATGCAAATTATTGAAAAGGTTTTCTCAGATGGAATTTAAGAATTTAGAAAAGTAAAAAACAAGAGGAGGTTGTTAGGCCTGCTTTGCTAGTTTTAATTATTAGCTTCTATATAGCCAACTGTTGCTTGAATGAGCTCAGTATATTAAATTGAAAAGTGTTGTTTTGTTTTGAAGCTTTTTGAGTTAAGAAGTGCCTCTTGTACTTAACCTTAAGCACACTTCTGAATTTCCACTGTTGTTGACGTTGTCTGGTCTAGTACCCACTGCTCATCCTGACAGAGTCTGGTGGGCTTCTTGTGTTAGCAGCTTTTCTGAATTATTATGTAAAGTCCCTCTATAAATGTTTCTGCTCAAACCATTTACAATTTTTGAAGTCATAACGTTTATTTTCTATATAGCTTTGCTTTTGATTTTCCTGTACATTTATTGCTGAAATTACTTTCACCTATAAAAAGTTGTAATTCAAATGAGGCATTATTGGGAGAGGATGAATAATGTTTCGAGACACAATATACAGTAAATGGTTAAAACTGAGAAGAGGCAGTTCTGCTTTTTGAATTTGTTTGGTTGCTAGTAGATAACTTATCACATAATCTCATCTAGCCAGTTTATGCACTACTGCTCACTTAGTTTTCACATTCGCACACAAAAGCAAATGACCTATTGCTGTCCTTTAATAACAGGACAGGGAACGCAGAGAGGATGAGCTTGCTGAGCTCCGGCGCACGCTGGAGGAAAATCACTGTGCTGTGAATAAATGGCGTGCAGACCTCCGAGCAAAGGAAAAGGTAAATTAGATGCTGTAAATCACTAAGAGTTAGTGAAACCTAAAGTGTTTTCACTACCACAACATCTCTTAAGATGGACACAGTTAAAGAATGTTGCTGTAGTTTGTACATCCGTCCATCGGTTTTGTAACACTTCATCTGATTCGGGGTCATGGGGAGCTGGAGTCTGTCCTGGCAAGCAACAGGCGCAAGATGGGATACATCCTGGATGGGACACCGGTCTATCACACAAACACGTGCACACTCATACCAGGGCCAATTTTCCCAAAAGACAGCTGACCTACCAGTATGTTTTTGGACTGTGAGAGGAATCCAGAGCACCTGGAGGAAACCCAAGCTAATACAGGGAGACCATGCAGACTCCACACAGACAGCACCCCGGGTTTGGATTTGAACGCAGGGCCTCAGCACCTTGAGGCAGTAATGCTAACCATTGTGTCACTTGTAATTTGTATAATGTACAGAAATTAATATTAATTATAGGTCCATATAAATAATTTCATTAAAAAATCAATCATTAAAAAACAAAATGAATTTATGAAATATGGAAAAACTAAACATATGAGTAACATGATATTTGTTTTTGTAGTGGGATCGTTACATGAAGTGTGATGGCAGTCCGGATCCATCAGTGCCACAGGAGATTAACACATATATAAATCTATGGAGAGAAAATACAGATGTGGAGATCAATTGTGTTCTGAATCAGTGTGCTTTAGCAATTAATGTAAGTGCACAAAATAAGTAGACGATCTTACGACTATATAATATGTATGGGAAGAAAGACTGAGGCATTTTTGGAGTTAATGATGTTTGTGTCATTTGTTTTAATGGATTTATCTTGTTTTATCTAGAGATTTAGTAGACCATAAAATTCCTGATTATTAAAGAAAACATAATGTAAGAAATTAAGTGTAGTCAATGTGTTAAGCTTACAAGATATTTAATTTAATTTTTTAAAAATAATTAGACCTACACTATAGGTATCATTACTATAAGGAATAAAATAATTAAAATGCATCTGGCAAAACAGTCACAATTTTTATCTCAGTCTTTGTTATATTGATTTTGTATTTCTTCTGAGTTTTATGTTTTAATAAAAAAATGTAGGATTTAAAAAGATTTACTTATAAAGCGCAACACTTATAATTCTTGCTATACTCTCAGCTTATCGAGGAGCTGGATTACCTTTTAAATGAAACCCCCAGCTCTGAGTTGAATGAAAAGGAAGTGCTTCAATATAAAGAGAGTATTCTCAACCTACAAAACCTCATTTATTCTAAATATAATGAAGCTACTGAAGAAATACTTAAGGTAAAGTACCATTTTTATTAGTGCTTTTTACCATTACCAAACATTTGGGCTCGTCAAATGGCAATTAAAATATTAACATATTGTGGTTCATAGAAATATAATTTTTGATATTTGCCGTATCCCAACAAAAATTATATACAAGAAAGAGGAACCCACTTGTACCTTGGGTTGTATATCCAGTCCTACAGTATATACAGTATACACACAGGAACATGCATAGAGATGTGAAAATGTATCGTAGAGTGAAGTTATTTTTTTTTAAAAACCCTGAACACTGCCATTTAGAGAACCAGCTTTAATGCAGTGAACTATTTCCATGGGGGAACTAAGCTCGAATGAACTGAGACCTGGGTTTCAGGTTGATCTTGAGAGTCTAGAGGAATTCTGGTGAGGATGTTTTATGCTCAAAGCTTAAGACCCCCCAGGGGCGCTTTGCCCTGGGGCTCCTGGGGAAGTGGGCTGTTCCACCCCCTGTAGCTCTCTTCCTCTACCAGCACTGGAGTCAACCACTCCAGCCTCAGGGTATCTCCCTGTCTCCCTGACACAAATGTCCGGTGGGGAAGCAGCATGCATATAGTATAAGCATAAGGTAGATTACGTGCGTAGGGAATTTGTTTCGCTGTGGATCTTGAGTAGTTTTTATGAATTATTGAACACACACAGGTGTTCCAGTTCACTGCCTTGACTTGGGGATATTGCTATTCATCTTGAAAACAATACACAGAGATGTTTTTTTTTACTCATACAACAGCCACAAATTCATTTTTTGTTTTTTTTTCGCTGTGATGATTAAGCCGTAGTGTACTGCATTTTTCTTTAGCACTCAAGAGATCTTGCAGACATAGAGACGGGGAATATGCGCATTGTGATGACAACTGTGAATGTGACGCTGTGCTTGTGGGCAAACCTCAGCAAAAATCCAAGGTATGTTTTTTTTCTTACAAAAACAGTGTGAGTTTATATTTCAGCATTTTAAAATGAAGAAGTACTGTTAATCAACCACCAGAGCGTTTGAAACAAGTTGACACATCTGCAGCATGAGGTCAGAGTTGTCTTCCTAAATGTTAATTGAAACTGAAATTCTGCACCACTGAATGTAGATCAGTTTAAAAACGGTCTCAGCAAGATTTAGGCAAAGTAACTTGAAACAAGGATGTGTAAAGCTTATGTCACAGTATCTTGTAGAAACTATACTGTAGGACTCTTCAAAAGCATCCTTCTGCAATCAACAGGTTCAGAGGACTGGAGTTTCAAGATGCCGGAGTAGCGTTTGAGCTGCCCAAGCAGCTGGCCGTGAGTGACATCGCCATCAGGATCCTGCACACTCACTACGACCACCTGTCCCATCTGAGCCGCTCCCTCCAGCCCTTGGCCAGAAGGGCTCTCGCGGGGACCGGGGCGGCGTCTCCAGCGGGGGGCCGCGTGGAGGAGCAGGACCAAGGCCAAACGGAGGCCGCTCACATCCCTGAAGATGAGACCCGCTCCGTTAAGTCTGACGATAGGAAGGTGAGGTGGCTTTCTCTTAACTGGATTTCACGAGGAATGACAAACGCCCAAGATGAAAGTGTCATGGAGCGAAATTGTGGCTGAACCCACTTGGCTGAGGCCAGAGGACAAGGAGACCAGGACCCCCGTGCTGGGTGACCAAGGGGTAGCTGCAGAGGTGGAGGTGGGATGCAAGAGACGTGCAAGAGAGAGAGATAGGGATCTCGTAGGTATTTATAGCATTTGGAAGAGGAATGGATTGACTGGAGCGATTTCTAATTACTGACAGCTGAGTCTGATGGAGCTTGGTTGTTGTCATCCCTCCCAAAATTTTGTTATAAACGCCATTAATTTGGCTAATGCATTTATCCAAAGCTGCTTACTGTATGTCTACCCCCTTTTCACTCAAGCAATTTGGGAGAAGTAGCTTCTTCAAGGGTACGACAGTGTTTCACCTGGGATTTGAACCCATGGGTCCTGAATCCCTAACCATTGCTCCACACTGATGCCTATGCATTCCGCCCTTTCTTCTCACCAGTGTTTCCAGCCAATGGAAATAACTTGCCTTTTTTGGAAATACATGTCAGCCCATATATTTTTTTTATAATGTAACATTTGGAGTAAATCGATGTTATGCTAAGTGGTTCACTTGTATTTTTGCTTATCCATAACATCAAGCTCTCATTCCTCGAAAATGGTTGAAGAAAACAAGTCTTCGGATGGAATTTTGATTTTTCTCATTTTTGGGGGATTAACCTGTCAGGGGAGATAGGAGGCAGCTGTGTTTCTGTACAGTTTGCAACAAAAATACACGAAGATGAAATCTAGACATGATTGGACCAAAAGTTTAATTTGGTGATGTAAAGGAGGCAGTCTTGCAACATAAATTTGTCATCTATTTGTCATCTTGATTTCCATTAGTGCATTAGTTTTTCAAGAGCATAAAAAGTGAACAATGGTCACTTTTGCTCACAGCCATATTGTTTCACAATGTGGTAAATGTAGAGACCTATAAGCATTCACATTGTGTATTATTTAAATGCTGCCTTGCAATAATAATTACAGTAATAAGTTAACTTTACTTCTTAGATTAGTGTGAAAACCCAGCTTTGCTGAATGTAATGGTCTTACAAGTGAGTATTAGTCTTTAAATGGCAAAGCTCGTAAGTTGAAATTGAAAACTTTCACGTTTCTAAAGAATATGCTAAAAAACTATGACAATCGACATAACTAAGCCAGTAACTAATTTGATAAAGTAGTTTGTTGTTTCTTCAAAGAGTGCCCTGAGCACAACATCAGCTAAAGAGGAATCAAGCTCTGTGGAGAAAAAGACAGATGAGGATGGAGAAAGTAAGCCCGAAAGCCATTCAGAGGAAACAGTTATTGATGGTAAGCAATTTAACCACGGCCAGAAGATGGAGAGGTCATGCCATTCGGTTGCCATTTTGTCATTACATATTTTACTTTATTGTATATTGGAATGATCTTTCTTTGACTTTGTACAGCACAGGAAGAAACAACTGGTGCTCCACAGGAGCATGAAGAAGATATTTTGGAAGAAGATGCTGTTGACCTGCACCAGTTCACACCATTAGGGGGAGTCTACTACTATGATGTCTTCAGGTTGCCCCCACAATCCAAAGACATTAAAGGATGGACAATCACAGAAGTAATTATTACCATGAGAAAATAAAATAATATTGTGTTTTAAGTACAATCCACTGATTAAAAGGATTGCAAATGATAGAGGATTTTTTTATCCTTTCAAAAAGCATTTGAACTGTCTGAGAAGACACTGAAGATCTTACTTCTGTGTGTTTTAATGAATTTGATGAGCATGAACATTTTAATTGAAAATCCATATTTCTATTAAAAATTTAACCAGTTGAAGTCAACCATCTTTAAAGTGTGCTTTTAATGGATTTCTTTTCAAGTCAGACATATAACACAAAGGAAGTCTTTCCTTGAGTTTAATTCTTTCAAGACTCTTTTAACAATTATGTTTGTGACCCAGTTAAAAGTCCAGGATGTTAGAAAAGATATGAAATTGATAACAGTTAATAGTTAGCCCGATCTTGTGTTTCTCTATCTTAGTGGTATTTATTCTGTCCTCCCACCAGCTCTCAGAAACAGGACTCCAGCCATTTCCATACCCCTTGGAACAAAACCTACCACAGACCTCAGGGTCTGCTAAGTCGGAGGAGAGGGAGAGGGAGAGTGACAATTTGACTTCTCCGCCAGTAGGGGTCACCATTAGTCTTCCTGATTCTGTCACGTTTTTGGAGGACCCTCAGGTTGCTAGATGGGATGGCACTGGTAAACTTTTAACTTTAATGTTTGAGGTTTCCTCGGCTGGACTGTTTTGCTATTTAAGAGTTTTCTGCTCGCCAGTTTGGCATTAGGAAAAAACAAACAGTGTGAATCTAAGATGATCTTTAATGGTGAAACCATTAATTGAGTTAAAATTCTTCTTTGTATTCTCTTAATTCAAGTTTGAATGTCCAGTGTGAGCATACATACAAAATTTAAAACCTATTCTTGTTTAAGTTCTTGTGTGCAATTTATTTTTCTGTTAATGGGGAAAAAAAAAACATAGAAATTGTGCTTGCATTTAGTGTATTTTAACATTTAATCCAACAGGTGTAGACGCAGAACCCCATATGACAAACCAAATTGTGGTTGTAAACACAGGCCATAATAAAAATAATTTTCTAATACAAAAATAGAAAATATTTCTCTATATTGTATGATTTAATGTTTTCCTACTTGTGTTAAATTTGTCCATTGCAGGTCATCAGTGGAAAACAGACCGTATAAGCGATGTGAAGTATGATAAAGAGGCAAAGAAAATTTATTTCAAGATGGATACATTCTATATCTTCACACTTATGCAGGATTCTTATGTTAATATGCCATTTCAGTTTTGGGAGCTCAGACCCCTTGGACTGAATACAGCTCTTTTCACTGTCACGGCTGCCATCTCTGAAGTTGAAATAACAATAAAGGCAAGCACTATCTATACCAAATCAATGATCCTACTATGTACAGTCAGACAAATGATATCTCTGTCACCTTAATGTGAGTAAAGTGCCCTTTAGATTTGTAGTTTAGCTGCTTGTGTAAAAAAAACATTCATTTTTTAACTTAAAAGTATAAAGGAGTGATTCGAAGTGAATATATATTTTTAGTTAATGGGTATTGGTGCCAATGAACAGAAAATAAAAGTATTCATGTTTGTTAATGACAAATGTAAGCACTAAAAAAACCTTCATGATCATGTAATTGCAGTATTCAACCTCTATAAGTACAAATGTTTCTGTTAGGTTTTCAGTTCCAGCCATGAAAAACATTCAGAAAGTAAAAGACAAAGCCTCATTTGGCTATCTTGATCTCTCATACATTTAGAACCGTGGGTTGTGGCAGTATGGCGGGCTAGCTTCTTCCATGTTTTTATAGGTGAGATCCTTGCCTGTTTCAACAAACAGCTGGAGGAAATTCTCAGATCAATTATCTGCTAACTACAGAATATAGCTAGAGGGCCTCCTTTCATAGAGAACATAGAAAACAAATTAATTAAACTTTCATAGAAAACAAATTAAAAAACAGTATTAAATCTAAACTGATAATTTCAGGTTACTAAAATATGAATAACATGTGTTTCCATATTTTGTTTACTAGCTGCTTTAGAACCCATTGAATTGTCTATGGTTACATTGATGTTGTATTTCCTCTATACAAGGTGGCAAAGGTTTTGTAGACCTGTGCTCTCTCTCATATATACAAGACTGTTGAATAAGCTTTGTAGTGTAGGGCTCTCAAATAATTTAGTTGAAATATAGATACCAGCGTGTCCAGTAAACATCACAATTCCTCTGATTCATAAGCTACTGTATCTCTTAAGTGTGCAGTTTACACCATTTCTAGTACTAGGCATTTGTGTTAAGTAACCTGATCCTCTCCTTGCACAACTAGGATGACAAATGCATGCTAAATATCACAGCCAGCGACAGCAGCCTTTCCCAGATCAGAGGAAAATGGATGACCCCATCGGCTCTCATACGAGCAATGAGAAGTGCTGGTGTTAATATATTTGTGGATGAATATTCAGACAGATATGTCAGCGTTAATGAAAAGGTATGGGGAACATAGAAAACTGAAAGCATTTCCTGACTCAAAAAAGGAAGTTTGCTTGAATGTTCTGTTACAGATCCCTTTACACACCCATAGATAGCATCAGCTGCTGTGTGGCCATGATCTCAAGATCTTTCTTCTACCAAACTGGTCTATGACATTAGCAGAAAGGAAAGGCAGGAACGAATACCTTGAATCTTGACATTATCCTGTGTAGTGGTAACAGCAGTCTTCTCCCTCTCACCATTCAATACAGTATGTAAAACAGTCAACCATCAGGTCCTCAGTATAAATGTTACATGCTTACACATACAGAAAGAACTATTTGCACTTTAGAAAGTAATGGATATTTGCCCCTTATTTTTCTATCAGGACCCCCAGCTGGAGCAAGCTGCATATGACCAGATGGCCTTGGTTTCATCGGCGTATGCCTTTTGCTGGAGCCAGTGGAATGCAGAGCAAGGGAAAGAACACCTAGTTATGCAGGTATATTCAAGAAGTTGAAAGCTACTTTCTTTAAGAACGACGACTATGTGGCTTTACTTTAAAACTAGAGGACAATGCATTAATCTGCTTTGGGGTTAGTTTAAAGGCGTTCCAGCCCAATCCATTTTAGCAGGTAGCTGCATCAGTGTGTGCTTCAGCCCATGTGCTTTTTGTTCTTTCTTCTTTCTACATCTCAGCATGGAATTAACTATTCCTGATTCCTTTGCAAATCTGTTTTTATCTTCACATTGACATTTAAAAGTACACAGAGATTAGTGTGATAGGAATCACCTTTTCCTTAAGCTGAAGAGCAGCTTTCTTCTTCTAATCTGAATGGAAGGCGGCAGCCTCTTAAATGTGTGCATCACATTTTTTTAAAAGTTTTAAAGTGGAGTGAAATCTTGTTTTCTAATTCCTAGACGCATCAGTAAAAGATCTGCAATACCATTGGAACGTTTCCACACAATATATACAATCATTTCCTTATTTACATAAATGTTTCTAAAATGTGATGAAATGTGAGAATTAACTGAACACTTGGCATAACCACTGCAAAATTACGTTGTATTCATAGAACTGCTGTCCGAACGACTTTAGAAATAAATAAGAGGGTCATGTCTTAAGGGTGAAGTAACAACTTAAAAAACTTGATGCAAAAACCAGGAACAAGGAAGTTGATTATAAATGACTGCAGTGAGCAAATGGGTTTTTCACAGCTTGAAGTACTGCTGCAGCATCCAGTTCTTAACCTCTCAAACAGGACATATTCTACTGCACAATTACATTTCTAAGTGTTCCTGCTTCTTAGAGCAATTGAGTTTTACATGTATCCTTTATCAATGTTTTCGCTCTGCATAGGTTTTTGGCTATAGATATTAAGTTCTCTCCCTACATATCCCCAGGTCTGTACCTCTGTGAATAACATTTGTGCGGCTCGAGTTGAACAGTAATAGGAACATTTTGTTTTCAGGTGAGTGAGCACCTCAAGACTGATCCGGTGTCCGAGGAAGAGTGGAGTCTGTATTTGCTCAGCACTCAAAAAGCTATGCGCCTGAAGAACAGAGAGTACTACGAATCTTTCTCAACAGAACTGGCTGAAGGCAGCGAGTTTCATTCTACATTCCTACACATGCTAAAAGAAAGAATGTGTGATGCAGCACTCGACAGAATTAATCGTTCTCATTATCTATTTATCGACTGTGTACAAAAACTCCTGTATGCAACCAGGGTATTAACATACTCATGAAGTATATGCTTAAACAATTACTTTATTGTGCACATTTCCACTTCTTTTGAAAGATATTAAAGTGTTTTCATTTACCTTTAGGAATTACACCGCAACTTCTTTTATAATATAGACATTGATTAACCAAACAGAAAAACAACAGCCCTGCAAAGTAAAAATGTTCACATTTTCCCACACTGTTCTCTCTGATTATGTCATTTTAATTTTTAAAAATCATAAAATAAGTTAAAGTTTACTTCAAAAATTAAAACAAAATCAATTACCTGATTATCAGTGCTTATTACCCTAAATGTGCATGGTAATTTCTCATTGTGTATCATGTTAAAGTGAAAAGTGGACTTCAAAAAGGCAGTCTTATTCAGTAAACCAAGGGACTATCAGCATGAAGTGCAATTTCTGTAATAAAAATGCCGTAAGAACAACAGCCATTAAAAGTCTAAACAACGATCAGTAGTTATCTGTAGCTGTTTAGCTGTTAAAAATGTTTTGGGTTTGCAGTGCCCTGTTCATAAAAGAGCCCAAAAGGACAGATGAAAAAATATACTCAGTTCACTGAAAGTGTTACAGTATATCCACGTAACTACCTACTGCATATAATAGAAGTGACGTGTCTTCAGTCAATTCCAGCAGAATGCCTAGAATTTTGAACACCTCCACAGATAATCGATGTCTTATACAGGGGGCTGGCCATTGTGTCTCAGTCCAGTATAAGGCCACAGGAACTGCTGAATTGCCACCCAAGAGTCTCCAGTCCCTACAGGTGCTGCATCCACAGAAGGCTGAAAAGCAAAGCTGGCAATGAGGCCGATGAAAGCTGCAAAGAGCACAGTGAGGACAACGGAAATCCACATTCCTCTGTTGCTTTTGGAAACCGAATGTCGGAAATCTGCAAACCGTGAGCTGATCTGGTCACAGCTGCAAAAAATAAGAAAGAAGAGAAGTTTTTAGTGCCAGCCCAGTCATTGTGTAATAGCACCACATTGCATACTGCAGCAAGCCCAAGGCACTGTTTGTCAAGCATGGAATTGTTAGGTTTTCCACAGATGTAGCAATCAGTACGTTAGACAAAAGTGTTAAATTCATATGACCAAAAAATAGGATAACAAAAAAGAAAAACAGTAAAGGAATGGAAGGGAGGATATTTAAATGTTCTGGTAGATTATTGACTTTAATTCAGCACAACAAGCTTACATTTCAGCCACACATGTAGGGCAGCAATAGCATCCCAATTTGGTTTAGGTTCCCCAAGCAGAAAGCTTCCAATAACCCAGAAGAGCAAAGCTAGCAGGAACAATTTTAATTACATGTTAACCCTGCACCACAAAGCTGACCACATTTAGCAGAGCTGCAGCATGTGAAAAAACTTTTAACTAACGTTGTGGAAGTCATTAAGACTGATGAAATTTTAATGCCCATTTCTGTTAAGCTTGACTTCCTTTCCACAATTTCCTCTCTCTTTTCCTCTGCAGGAGGGGATTCCGATTCTTGTTCATATCTGCAAACACATTAGTATTCAACAAACAGCAGTGGTTATGCAAGAACATATCTCCGCTATAAATTGTCCTGTTATGGCACAACTGCACAGACCTCTTCAAAATTAAAACTGAACAAAGTCCTTTGAACTGCAATTGATTTCTAAACTGTCTGAATACATTGTTAAAAGTACTTTTCTGTTGAGAAACTAAAGATGGCATGATCTTGCACCATATATGGACAGTAAAATATACATCACAGTTACCTGAACTGAGTAAATAATTTCTCAACTTTGCACTGATGTTTTAGTCCATCTGCTGTTGCAAGTGGAATGCCAATAGAGTCTACATAATGATATCTACCACTTGAACTTCTCTGTGCGTGTTGGGGACTACTGACTAGTCCAAAGTAGACACAGAAAAGGCCAGGATAATGAACAGTAGGAGAGTAATGCTTACCCTTTCATTAAAGAGGGCTCATCAGATTCCGCCCAAGGACATGAGCTCACGAACCGCTGTAATGTAGGACGGGTACTGTTTTGCTTCATTCCCATTACCCTCCTGTAACAGTTTGATAATCAGTTACATAGGTAACTGCACAGCTTAATCAAAACATAAATGGTACTAGAAAGATTATATTTTATTTTAATTTGCATCTGTGGAGTTTTAATTTAATTTACCATGGGAGTACCACTTTAGATGAATGCTACAATAAATTCCCCAGTAGTTTGGGAATGCAATACTGCAGACTGAGGGATGAATGGTAACTCTAGAAACAGAAGCATTCTGCACCTAAACATGTCATGTGCACCTAAATAATGTGGGCAACATCTTGAAAGAATATTGTAGGAAAAAGAAATCCAAGACAGAAACATTACTAGTGCAACAACAGGAAACTACTGATAAAAAGTGCCCAAGCTGATACTCGCCAATTCCCAGTTCTACACAGCTTGTCGGCTTCGGTCTCCGAGATCTCATGAAGCTTCGGCTGCAAAGACATTAAATTTAATTAAATACATACTGATACTCAGGAGAAAGGAGGGTAAGACCATTAAATTTTACACAGATATAAAAAAATCACAGGAGCAGAACAAAAATCTGGATCAAAGAATAGTATGTTTTCATTATGAAAAGAGATTCACTGTCAAAATGAAAACCTTACAAACTTAAATGAGAACTTCAATGCTATTTTCATATTTTGGCATCAGACAGAATCAGCATTTCAAACCACAATAAAAGTAAAAAGTAAATTGGAGGTTTTACAAGTTGCTGTGTACGTCACAAAATAAATGAAATTTCCATGTTATGCATAGCACCATGTTCTGCGATTCAGAACAAGGCAAAAAAAACTTCCAGTGATGTGTTGCGGTCTTATTACATTCCAAACAAGAAGGCTTGCGAATACATCTCTTTTAATCCAAAATAAATATTGCTTTGGATTTCGAGACAGTTTTGCAGACAAATACTACTTGTTAACTGTGCATACAGATCATGTTAGTACATTTCTGCAGTTGAATGTCTGCTGCACAACACATTACATAAGTCATTACGGAAACTATTAGGAACTCAGATGAGAGTTTCTGACAACAGTACTTTCACAGATTTCACAATCTTGTGCTCAATTCGCAATTTTTAATTTTTTTCTACAATGTCAATGAATTTATCTTGTCTTCCAGATTAAATAACCATCTCGTAAACTGGGACTACAGTTCCCTTTGGATATCAGGTGTGACCTCCTGTCAAATTAGTGTGTTACTCATCTTTACAGATCATGTAACTAATGACGGCAACAGCAGAATGTATTGGGCTGAATGTGAAGTATATGTTGTTCGTATATGATGAAATGTAGTCTTTGGAATGACCTTAAATGCAAGTTATATGCTAATTATACGTTCTAATTTTATGGTGACAAATACAAATAGCTTTATTGAAAAGCACAGCAGTTTTGGACTTTGCTGTCCCAATTCATGTGGCGGGTACTACATCTGCCCACTATTTAAAACATAAATAACCGTGTCCAGTGAGCTACTGATGTCAATAAACTGCTGCGCTTCATCAGTATAGCTTGGCAATAATAATTTGTGTATATGAACATATGAACTGGTTCCATTCTTCACCTCTCTGCTTTTCTTAGTACCACCATCCATGGTCTCCTCTGTATATTGTAATTGTGTCTTATCTTGTGTATTCTTCTTATTTATTGTTGTTGTCATCCTGTAAAGGGCTTTGAGAAGCCACCTTTAAAAGGTGCTATGTAAAATAAAGTTTATTATTATTAACATAATTAAACTTACAAATTTACAGAGCAAAACCAACAAGTATCTCAAGCGACTGTTGCATGAGTATCGACAAACTCCATTCTCTACCTTACCGTTTCACAAATTATGCTGATTCTCTCATTTCGGAAACATATCTTACCATTTCAAAATGGGAAGCATTTCCAATATTTCTGGATATGGCAGGAACGCTCACTCGTCTTGAGGAAGGCTAAGTAAAAGCAACATGAAACAGAAAAAGCAGATTTAAATGCTTGAACACATTAACAGTTTTTGCAAGAGTTTTGCTACAAAACTGTCAAGCACTATACTGTAAGTGAAATGAATCTGACCTTGCTGTACTGAGATCCTGAAGTCTTTTTGTTCCGGAGATCATCTGAGAAAACCATTTTGGGACAGAAGAAAGGAGAAGAAAATACTTTTTTTTAATTTTGAACCATATAAAATCTGGTTGTCTTTGACTTAAAATATACAGATTTACTCCACAGAAACCCACAGTTACTGTAGTTCGCCACAGCCATTCTGCACCAGCAGCCACACTTACACAGCAGATCAGGCAGAGAAATCATTTCAGCTGAATTAAGGCGATATTTAGGTAGGCTAGACCGTTCAAAGCACAGGGTGGAATGAGCCACGACTTCAGGGCTAACGGTTCAGCTCCTCCAAATAGTGTAATAGGATCTTTAAAGGTCAAGTAGTCAAGCATCTCCAAAGCATGGCAACTGCAGTGCAGTGTTCCCCATTCACAGTACTGGGGCATTAGTTTGAAGATTCTGGACTAGAGGTATGAGCACCACCTACTGGTCCACCAACACCACATAGCCAGAGTGACACAGTCAGCTTGGAGGTCTCGCATGTCATTCACAGCCAGGTCCAGCCCTGCTTAGCCACTAGGATTAGGTTTCAAGGTGGTAATGCTGCGGTTTGCTCAATTCTGAATCCGATCCTGCAGGTACGACAGTTTGTACCTCTCTCCGAGTAGGACCCAAAAGATCTCTCGCTCTGCACGAGCGTCTCTTTCAGCTCCAGCAGCTCAGCATGCTCCTTTGTGTACATGCGCTTTAGATTCTCCACATGCTGAATCATCACTTCGACAGCCTTACTGACTCGGCTCTCCTAGGAACAGGGTCAACACCATTACATACTCTCCCCAAAGTGTCAGCCAGATTAAAAAACAAACAAACAAGTTAAATGGGACGAACTCATAATGATCTATAAATAATAATAAAATTGATCATTAAAATTAATACATTCTATGAAAATTAAACTAGATCTCTTTTTAAGACTTATAAATGCGTCCTAAAACAGAAAGAGCAGTGTTTAACAATCCACCTGATGAATTGCACCAAGCATTTCAGATCTGTTCGACACTCTGGACATGGACTGGACGAGAACGTCAAAGTTCTTCTGTAGTCTCTGGATAATTTCTAGGGACTGATTATCATCCTCACACAAGGGAGCGAGTTTCTGGAGAAAGAAGCAGAGGCATCACTTGTGTCACTACAGCAAGAAAATCTGACATTTCTTGTGGTTATTCTAGATAAAAATTAATCTTTATTTTTATAAAAGAAAAAAAAACACATTTCTTAATTCAGATAAAACAACTGGTTAATGAGGACCGGAAACATTTAGCTATTCGGCGCACTTGGTATTCAAGCCAGAAAAGACTTGAAAAGCAATGCAATATGGTGGGCAGTGGACAAACAAGACGGTATTGTAAAGGAGGTAGCGATACGATTATTTTTAAAAATCCGACGTGCTCGTAAAGTAAACTTGGTAACCATTAAAAAAGCCCATATTACTATGCATTTAAAAGACCTGTTTGAAAGCTAGTTTCCAGTGTTCAGCCCCCCGCTTGAAATCAGAGGGAGTTTTAACAGTGGTTAAGCACTGTTCCTCTAAACCCCTCCCTGGAAACAGAGCTAGATGTCCCCTCCTCGAAGAGTGAGACAGACACGAGGGGGATCCCCACTGTTCTCGAGTGCCACTAATGAAGCAGCATGCCACCCCAGAAGGGAAAACAGTGTATAAAGAATAGTTTCCCCTGTCCAGGCTTCTGTGTGGTGTTAAAACATAACTTCAGTGGAGTTTCACTACAGCCTTGCATTGAGAAAAAGTCATTCTAAAAGCTCAATGTTACTGATGAAAGATTTGACAGTGGAATCACAGTACAAAGAAACTAGCATCCTACTAAGACATTGCTGATCGGGATTATTTGCTGTAAAAAAGGACTGTGTGCTGTCATTGAAAGAGCGTTTTAATCTCAACCTCAGCTCCTCATGATGAGTAGAGATAACAGTTTTTGGCAGTATGATCTGTGTAGTGAAATCAGCTTGCAGATAAAGACTTCTGCCTTTTTTTTTTTTACACTTTCCTATTCAAAGACACTTAAAGTGCTCTAATGAAGCACGTCACCTCTAACAGGCCTTTACAGTTCTTGACTTCCTTTTTCAAGTTTTCTTCCGCCAGATCCCTGGAGCGCTCTTCCAGCCTCAGACGCTTCTCCAGAGTAAACACGTCGCACTTGAAGCCCAGAGACAAACGGTGAAATTCAGTCTGCCAAGAGAGAAACTGAACTAAAGAAACGCATTGGAAAGCAGAGACCCATGACATCTACACAGCACGCTCTTGATTTCAGGAAGAGCTGAAACGAGCTGCTTCCTTAGAACCCCTGATATGGAGTGTGGGGATTACCAAGAGGATTAAAATTAGGTTTAATTAGACAATCCACAAAACTTAAAAGAAGCCAAAATTATGTGCTTTAAAACAGAACTAAAACATGATGCATTAATGTTCATTTGAACTTGGGATAGTTTACTCCTATTTCTAGACTTGCTGAATAGTTGTGCTTACAAAGATATTAAATATATTAAAAGCACTTACCTCCACCTCTTTTTCACTAGGGGAGAAGCTAGACGGGAAAAAGAATAGATGCATTTATCTTGATGTTAAAGCAAACTGTATTTCAGCACTGCTCAGTTACCGGTTCGTTCATACTCTGGACCACAAGATCTGATGGTACACCCTCGAACAGCCCCTTATCTTAACTGTATGGAAAAATCTAAACCTTTTCATCCCATCAGCTCTCACTAACAAGGCGATTTAATGCAACTCACTGAATGTATCAAGGTCAATCATGACGTTCAATTCATCCCTGAGCCAGTATGTTTTTAAAAGTGGTATACACATCTCTGACTTTACATTGTGCTGTTGTATGCAGAGAGTCATTAAGCAATAAATCAGTCTTAAACACGAGGTTAATTTTCCAATTGGAAAAGCAAGCCCAGGCTCAGTATAAAGTACAAAACTGGACCAGGATCAGTACATTTAAAAAAAAAAAAAACACATTACACCCTCTCCCCAAGTTTCAATCTCATACAAAGACCTGCCATAGGTCCCTTAATAATGTTGTCGAGGTGAGGAGAGTTTATGCTACATGTGCAGGGAGCAAGGAGGGCGGCTACCTTCCCTCGTGGGTAAAAAGCACAGAGGAAACAGAATGTCATGTACACCAGGGCTCTGTTTGACACTTTCACGCATGAGGCGTATCGTCTCCTGCATATCCAGCGGAAATTGAGAGTAATCCATATTACAAATCGGGTCAGAGAAGCACCCGAGTGATTTACTGTGTGCTTTGTGTTTAATTACCAAACAGTCCAGGATAGGGTATGGAAATGTACAGTATTTATAGATTTGTTGAAGGTAATTTGCTAATTTACTGTATATTTAAGTGTATGCTCTATTTGGTGCATACCAAAGTTGAAAAATGGTTTTCAAACTTTTTTCCTTCATCCTTTATAAAGAGGGGGTTATGTGAGGACCGTTCCTCTCTGCCTCAAGGACCGCTGGTTGCTGCTTCTCTTTTGCGTTCTACTTTCCTGTCATTAGTAGAGTAGAGTAGTGTATTGCCATACGTGCGCGTATGCTGGAATTCTTAATCACGCTGATCTCGGGACATACACAATACAACAGACAACACCTGAACAATAAATATGTTGTGGAAAAATAAATATGTCGCAGTGGGACAAAAAAAAAACATGGTAGACCAGGCAAAAAGTGCAGAATGCAGATGTGTATTTAGGCGCTGCAGTTAGCTGTTGAGGATGTGCACTGCAATGGGATAGAAGCTGTTCTTGAGTCTGGTGGTCTGTGCTTTAACAGTGTGGTACTGCTTGCCAGAGGGTAGGGGGGAGTTTGTGGCTGGATGGTTGGGATCCTGACTAATGGACTGGGCTTTATTGCGACAGCGGATGGAGTGGATCTCACCGATTGATGGTACAGTAAATCTCCTCCTATGATCCTCTGTGCCGTTGCCACAACTCTTTGTAGTGCATCTCCGTCATGCTTGGCAGAATCGCTGTACCACACAGTGATGCCACTAGTGAGGACACTTTCTATGGTGCCACGGTAAAAGTCCATGAGGAACTGCTTCCCTGTACCTAGTGCACATGCCTGTTCACCACTAGAGCACGACAAACTCTGGTGAGGCTGGAATTTCGCCCTCCTGTCCCTCCTTTCTCACTTGCAGCTGGGGGCGAATCAGGGAGGAACAATGCAACGTCGCGGACGGGAGTTCTCTATAAGTATTCACGCAGTGGCGGCGGAAGCGTCACTTCCGAGTGACGTAAAAATTCAGATTACGTACGGACTTGAGGAACCAGAGCCTTCAATAACCAGGGGAGCTGGTGTAAAAACCGCGAGACTCATCCAGTAGTCACAAGTGTGGGATAATGTGGGAAAGGACTTTGAATTTTACATAGCTTCGATTTGCTCATGGGGAATTGAGACTTCCTTATAACCCTAATCACAGAACAGGGTCACAAAAGGAGTATAATGGTGTAGAAACTGGACAAATCATGCCAATTCAAAGCTAATACAACTATACAGTACACTGCAAAACTGATATATATATATATATCAAGTTAAAGCTGTTCTTGCACGAAGGCGGTGTTTTCAGGGTGTTTTACTATCTATTTCCGAGAAAAAGGAGACTTTCTACTCTAGATGTTCCAAACAAGGGCTAGACGTTACTACCAAACAAAAACGGTATATCATTTTTATTGCGAAGACATCTAGACCTTAGTGTTTATTAGAATTTTGGATTAACTTACATGTTTTTATCCTGATTTGGAGACTTATTTCTGTTTGCAGCACTCTCCGTGGGAACTGCAGCAAGAAAAGGAAAGAGTTTTAAAAACAGTCCCTTTCCTTTCCAAAGCAAAGCTACAATCACTTATGTTTTTTGGCAATTTGGATATTTAGTGGGAACCAACAGGTCACGCTGCACTCTTATGATCACTTGAATGGATTACAGAACTGGTACTGTAAGTGCTTTTCAGGCCAGATGCGAGACGTCAGAAGTGCTGGTACAGTACCTTCGTTTTGAGTCGAGTCACTTTGCTCTTCTTGGGGTGTGTGCTCCTCTATAGCTTCCATACTTTGAGTATGCTCCTAAAAGAAAATGAATGAGCTCATGCAAAGAAAAAGACCACAGCCACCAGCTGGAACACAAAACAAAGTGATTTTTATTATCAGTGCTGAATGCTCCTCAACACAAACATCTAAAGCCCATTACAAGGAATGCTCAAGTACAACTAAAAAGATACGGAAATCCCAGCTCACAACGAAGTGTGAAGGAAAAAGAGAAATCAGACTGAAGGATATACCTCACACATAGAAAACTGGCACACCTGAGTCTTGCAGATCCAAATGTTTCTCAGCTCTCTTAATACTCAATATTTACTCAGTATGCAGCATTTAGAAAAAAACATACAAGCCAGTTAAGCAGGCAGATTGGAGAACAGCTCCTGTGCACCGGTCTCTAGACGTTCACGATATCAATGCCTGTTGACAATATGCAAATGCCCCTTGAGAAAAAGCAAGTAAACAAAATGTGTAATGTTCCTACCAGGTTCTTTCTAAATTTACTTCTTTGCATCGCTGTGTCTTTCTTTGGCACAATTCCACAAGGGCCCCGGCTCTCAGTCACTGTAGACGGACTTCCATCTGCAACATCAAAACAAAACCGCGAGCAATTCCACACTGAACAATACAGGTCCGGGTACTTTTAACAATGCCAGCAATTCAAACGTCGAGATGAAAATGCCTCACTGAACAACAACCCGCTTACAAGGAACTAACTGCTTTCTAATTGTTAAAGTGACCTTTAAGAGAAAATGCATATTAGGCAACAATGTGAAGGAAGCTGATGTGCTACACGCAAGGAGGAAAAGGAGGCCTTGGACAGCACTTCACCATTGTATTTGATAAAGACTGACTAGATATTTCCAATAGTTCCCCATGGTAACAAGAACAAGCAAACACCTGTAAATAAAATAATTATGCAGATCACTGTATTTCAAACAATTCCGATGCTACAAGTCTCAAGTTGGAATTTACGGATTAGAATTCTTGGTCAATTTATTCAAGGCATGATTATCATGCACAGTTTGATTAAAGGTCAGATGTTCAGAAACGTACAGCACATGGCCTGTGGATTACCTTGCGGTCAGATTTGACAGATTGAGGTCGTCCAGCACTTACCAAGTCCTTTCCATTTTTACATCACGGTGAGTTTGAAATTAAAAAAAAGGATGCAAAGGCTGATAACTCCCTACCTCTGTTCAAAACTCACAGCAACTTTGAAAAAATCTAAATATATGGGCTCCTTAACACCCAAATATTTCTTATGAGATATCGGTCATTCTCATTCTCTGTAACATCTCATTCTGATCTTGCAGAATCTCGGCATTTGCTTCTGAAATGGTAGTAAATTGGACCTACTGGGTGCACAGTTACGGCAGAAATACTATTATACATTTTCTATAGGCACGGGATAGCTAACTGGGTCAAAACAACTCATGTTACTATTACAGATACCCACTACTTATCTAGGCCATAGAGCATCTTTGGGAGATCAAACTCTGACACTAAAGATCTAGACTACAAATAAGAATGTGATCATATTCACAACCTGATTATCTTTGCATCAAGGGAATGTCTTCTAATAGCAGCTAAGATGAGTTATTAACATTGGCATTTGTGTAATTTTGCAGTATAAAGACATTGTAGTCAAGCAAGACCCAATTATAACTTCATCTGCATCTTTTAGAAGCTGAAAAATCATTAAATCACAGAAATAGTAATCAATATTGCATGGAGATCAAAACTGGGCTACACAGAGACTAGATAACTATTTCTATTGCACTGAATCATTCTACTGTCTTTGGTGGACAACTATGATCCTGGAGAACCAAAATCCCGGCCTTACAGGTCCCCCTCAAATCACTGATTAATTCATTTGTAAAGTCTTAAAACAGGTAAGCTTCGATAAATTCAGTAAGGTAACTGATTCAATGAAGTCAGCAATGGCCACCCATGGTCTTTGAGAGATGCAGGGTGTCGGCATTCCCATTCAAAATGATTCCCAAAATGCTAAATAAAGACCAAAAACACAATTATTCTAGGACTTGACGAACTGATACAAGAGTGAGAAGACCGCCTGGATTGAAGCTTGTCACAGCCTGGTTTGCCTTCCCCAGCTCTATATAATTTAAGTCAGTGTGAACACAAGCTGCCAGGAAAGGTGTGACAGTATTATAACAAAATGAAGTGAACAACCTGGGAGTCCTGTGTTCAGGGCAGCTTTCCCATTTCCATCCTCAGGTTTCTCACTTTTTGCTGGGGAGCTCGTTTCGCAGTCCTGAATCTGTGGAGGGATCCCGCCAGCGAGCTTAGCATCCTCTCCCCGTGACACACCGTCTGCTTCAGCCAAAAGCGAAATTCCTTTTATAAGGGTCTTTCCCTGGGCAGGGAGCCAGTCGTCACAGTCAATGAATTTTCAAAGTCTTCCCCCTCACCTGACATACCGGCCTGCGATGGAGAAACCTGAGCCGTCTTCTCTAAAGGCAGGCTGGCATGACTGGCACTGAAAGTGAACGGCATGAGGTCACTTAGCAGAAAGACAAAGGAAAATAAGATTGTTCCACGGTTATCCAGTCTGAAATTAAATATGCCAACCTGTCTGCGGCTTCTGTGGCGGCGACAGGCAACTGGTCTGTGGCGATTTCCTGAGATAGATTAGAGAAACAAAGAGAACCTTTTCTGTTATTTGTAAACTACATTTTTAGGTAAGTATTCATACTGTCAGAATTCAAATTCCATGAGCAATAGTCGTTCTGGTCCAGCCAGCCACGTTACAAATAGTTTGAATGAGGAACATACCAATCCCATTTTAATCCTTACAGCACTAACTAAAAAAACTTCACCTATTACTTATATTCTGGATATCATACTGTAATTTGGGTTTTAAAGGAAGCGTAGCATTGGGGCCTTGAAAACTATGTTTTACGTGGCTATTATAGCAACCCAACTAATAATTACACTAAGAATTAAGTGATAAAGATTTTAAATAATCTTTCTGTTGCCCAGAAGAGACCAACTCAGGCACAGACTAGCTCCAGTAGTTCGGGTCTTTAGGCACACCTTGGATAAAGTCCTCTAATTAGAAGCATGCCCTGACACGTAACAACATAACAGTATATGGTAAAATGGGTCCATCTTGACTCCTCTGGTGATTTGAGTGTTGGGCACTCCAGCAATTTTGTCTGCATCTCCAAGGTGAGGACTCATTTGGAGGTCACCTGACAATCACCCAGTGATGACCAACCAATTAGGAACCTGCAGAGTGTGGAAGGACAGGCCCCCTGGTGACATCTCAACCAACCCACAGCCAAGATGACTGCACTTAAATGGCATTGTGTGACTATGAAACCTAACGGAGCCCTGGCAACCTGACAAACTAACGAACCACGGCCGGGACCCCATGAACCAGGCAGGGAGAGAGAGTCTGTACATCAAATGGAATTCTGCCCCAAACCTCCTTTGCAATAAGAGAAATCTGAATATTGTTGTATCAGCAGTGGTAGCAACAACACCTGTCCTCACTCAGTTTGTCTCCACTTTTGTCTCACTCTTGTCCAGAATCGAGACAGTCCTTGTCATAGACTGTTTAAAAGGGATACTCAAAACACTGAGTGAACTCCCCTCCTCTCTTTCTTTCCCAAAATGGAGTACAGCCTTCGCCACCAAGCCAGCAGAAGACTGGACACCAAAATGAATCCAGGTTCAAGTCCTTCTCCCAGCAGTACTTTCCAGGTGTTCATTGAAAATATTGTTGGAGGAGTATTGATTCACGTTCATATATCGGGCATCTCGATAATTAAACTATTTGAAAGAAAGTTTAGTTCATGATCTATTATTGTTAGATGTCTTGACAATAGTCCAACTGTATTAATATAGATTAGGCAAAATCACAATAGGTTTGCATGACAGTAATTCTCGAATGTGTGCAAATAGTATGAATGTGATTAATCAGATGAGACTGACTTATCTTATGAGGTATGAAGCAGATTGTTTCAAATGTATTTTTACTCTTCTGTTGTTTCTGCACAATGTTGAATTGATAAAAGTATGTGTAGTACACTAAGAATCCCGATACTGCATTTTATTCTTTCGTAGGTATTCCTAGTAGCCATAAAAGCAGTCTTGCAATTTTCTGTTCCAATTTCTAACTGTTAAAGTAAATTGAAACCATCACATCACGACATTAACACTTCATAAAATCCTTTGGAAAATGAAAATGTCCAAGTGTTCTTTATTAATGATGCCTAGCAGAAGAAAAGGGTTATGGTTTAATTTGTATACAGTATTCCTCTGGATTTAACTAACTGCAAATTGCAAAGTGAAATGTCTTCAGTTTATTTATTTTTTTTAATCACAGTCTCTCATCTTCAGCTTCCAAAAAAGTCAAGCTTGTTCATTTGTTGAGAAAATACTGGCATTTTAGATCCATTTTAAAATTAGATCTACAATAAAGTTTCTTATTCTTCTATACAGAACAGTAAAAAATTCACATATCTAAAACATATCTGAAAATGATATATGAAAATGAGTAACATTTACTTTCCATTAACTATTCAATTTTGATTTTGTACTATATGTCCAAGGTGCAGGGCTGTTCATGCTCTTCAGCGACCCTGGAAGTGAGATACAAGCATCTTTCATTTTCACTGCTTGCTGTTCTTGCATTCACCACAAAACACACCGACCACCGAAGAATGGATACTGAACAGTCCAGGGCAAACTGATGCATAAATGCCAATTCCCCACTAATTAAATTTAAAATTTAAGCACTGAAACATTCTTACTAAAACTAATCAAAAGTATAATATCTGCACCTTAATGTAGGTGGGTGCAGGACAGTAGCAACATAATTCCAGTCCACAGTGAAAGCAGGCTCAAGCCCTGTACCATCCCCCATTACACTGACGGTCAGTACAATCTGCGATGACACTGCAAGCGGAAAATGTTTCGACGGCTGCCCTACCTCACAAATCCTTTCACTCAGCCCTTCTCCGCGTTGGTGTGAGAAAACCTCCAAGATGAGGGGGGAAAAAAAACTAACTTTTTTTGAGTTCCTGACTGAGCTGTGCAGGGGACATGTTTATGAAACAGAAGTTAAAAGAAGAAAAAAAGATAGAGGAAGTAAAGAAACGCACATCACAGCAGCTCATTGACGAATGAAATAAAGGAAGTTTTCCCTATGATGGAACTTCCTGAAAACTAACCTTGGCATCAGTCATGATGGACACAGTTAGTCCGTCTTCCACTTGTACACCTACAGACAACTTGTACCTGCAGTAAAAGAGAAGGGTCACGTTGAAAATGAAGCAGACTGTTTCGTTTCTTTCTTAAGCACCCACACTTCCTGAAAACATTCCTCAGAGTGAATTGACAAACTTGTAAACTCTGCAAGTTTGCTGGCTTCAGGTGCCCTGTGGACACACCGCAGTTCAAACACGTGGACGAGCTTATGCAAAGTTACTTCGGCTGAAATGGAAAAACCACACAGCAATCCCCTCACAAAGAGCTTTCACAAGCCTGTCCTGGGAGTGAAAACACTGTTTTGCATTGCAAAGGCAAAGATTCTCCTGCTGCAAGGGAAAACTTAGTAGGACGAGTGAGTCATGAAACAAGATAGAATCCGAGTTTAAAAATTAATTTTTAGATAAATATCAAAAGAAAAAAACATTCAACACTATAAGCAGAAGGATGTTCTAGCTTATTTTACCCTAATCAGACCCTCTGAAACTAAAACAAAACTAAAAAGAGGTTTTACATATCCAGTGCTAAATGATAAATCTGAGGGCAATTATAAATGACAGATGCTGGACCAATTGATCCTCTCTTTTGGTCCTGGAGGGAATTCACAGTTAGGTATTGACAGCATTTTCTAACCTTCCGGTATCCGGCAGTGCCAGCTTTCCAGATGGATGCTGTCCAGGTAATGACTCAATGTACTGTGGTGCAGATCTTGGGATCCTAGAACTCTTGTTGTGGATTCTTGGATAAAGGTACAAGAGGTCCAAGGTCAGTGCATCTGGAGGAAAATCATAAAAGAAAATCACACAGTTGTCTTTTGAACTCAGGAAGTTTACATTTTGACCCCTAATATCTTTACTTAAGTAGAATGAGAAGATTTAGGCAGTGGTAGAATCAATATCAAGGGAAATGTAACAGAAAAATGTCAATACAATTGAGCAAAAATTAAACTAATCAAACTAATACTGCTGATAGTATAAGGTGTAGATGAACCTTTTGGTTAAAGCTGAAGTTGATAGAAGACTACAGAGTGTGAGGACAGTGTAACGATAGGAAAATCATCCAGATTTGCATACTTTTCAGGGAAGAAGATTCAGTAAATGGTATATGGAAAGGATCTTAAATAAAAGCGATGTTTTAAGGCACTTACCAAACAGCGGTGTGTATGAGTGATAGAGGACCTCAGACATGCATTCCGGAGCTTGGCTGACATCATGGACTGCTTCTCCGGGCCCTGAAAGTCTGCAGCTTTCGTCTTTCTGTTGTCCAACCAGAGAACACTATTATTGTTGCATGCTTCAGGCAAAAACCACAATATGCAAACTGGAAGCTTCATTGATAGATAGGATGTTCATCAGTCAAAATAGTACAACAATTCAGGCTTGGTTGCATTATCTTGAATAATGCTAATCATTTTTTTATGCCAGTGCACAAATGCATCACTGGCACCTCGTGATGGACTGGCGCACGTTCAGGGTGTACCCCTGCCCTGCACCCTTTGCTTGCCAGGATAGGCTCCGGTCCCCCACATCACCCTGTACTGGATAAAGCGTCAGTAAATGGAAGGATTATCCTCTCGGTTACAGAATTGGAGAGAGGCAGTCCAGCCTGCTCTGATACTGGAGAGAAAGGCAATCATGATTAGGTGGGTGTTGAGCCTCCCTCTCTAGCGCTCTGGGAATTGTTCTGGGAACAAGCGACGAAGCGACCATGAATTTTATGGTAAACTCTAATATAGCTGTAACTTTTTTCTTCAATTTTCATTTTTTCCCTCTCAATTTCATTGTTATGCTCTCAAAAATGCAAAATGCCATGTTCCTACAAGATTGAGAAAAAAAAGAAGATGGATGGAGAAATGGATGTTTATTAGTACAGTATGTTTTAGAGAACGTATTTGAATAGGTCACGGTTCATCACTGGATTTTTCTGGCCTGGAATGACACATCCGAGTCACTTGTAAGGATTTGAAGGCTCACAAACTTGTCCTTATTGTAAGGTTAGCTTAACCCCAATTAAGACATAGTAAAGATGTAATTTGACTTAAATTAATATATTGGCTTAGTCCGCCTGGCAGAGAGAACAATAACCTGACTATATGGACAAGGCTATCGAATCCCCTATTTTTTTTTTTTACAATGGATGAGCCAAGGAGCCACTGCAGGCCAAGAAAGTGGCTGAAAGAGGGATAATAAGACACCAGCAGATGGTTAATGGAAAAAGGATATTTATATGGAGTATACAGCAAATCCTACACAAAAGATGAGAATAAGGTGCATGCATTTTACTAAATTTGGTAAGTAAATTCATCTGCTGATGCAATTTCAGCTCCGATGACATTTGAAGGATTGTATTAATATGCTCCCTTTCTCTGCTGAGAGAGAACCCGATTATTCCCCAATTTGTGAAGCATATCATAGTGCAATACAGTTCTACAGAGAATCAGTGTCAAACACTGAAATCCTGTAGCTTATATGAATACAGTAGAATATCTCCAATTCTACTTGCCAGGATAAATGAGTTTAATAAACCTGTTCAAAGACAAATTAATAGTTTATTTAATAGCATGTATTATGCCTTATAAATAACTTAAGTGTCTGACACAGGAACCCATTGATTAATCGCAAAAAACTAAAAATGTTAACCGTGCAGAGAAATGTATAAAAAAAGCATTGCAGGACAATTATCCAGATCCCTGTAATTGCAGAACGTTTCTAACACTTGACGAAGCTCAAGTCTCTTGGAGAAACTCCAGAACAAAAAAGAAAAACAAGTTCTGATTTTGGCAGCTGTAACGTGTGGCTCAATCACTTCAGTTATTATCTCCTAGACACACATGGGTGGGGATGTTATTCTCCATTTTTTAGGAAGAAAAAAAGCTTTTTTTTCCTGCTGACTGCCATTTCAGGCTGCCACTGTTCAGGAAAGAGAAGCCCTCATTAAATCTGTCAGCACCAGGGCAATGCTTAAAGGAAATTAAACTCCATTTTGGTATAACTTCAGAGTCTAAAACTCAACAGCAAAAAAGTTCAACCAGGCAATGAAAAATTTAAAAGAATAAAAATAAAATCGTCTTCAGATCAATACCTGATGCATGTTTACGTATCCAATCTGCTTAGACCTTCCACTTACACAAGTTTTATTCCTGAGAACCCAGGACTTACCTTGCAGGACAACTCCCAGAGATCTGGAACCGGTTCCACAGCCGTGTGCTCATTAACTGGAAGAAAAGGTATTTCCTCATAAAAAAAGGGCAAAATCAATGCAAGAAAAAACACCTTTAACTGAACACAATTTTGAAAATTAGTCTAATGAACCTTTTCTTTTAAAATGGAAAACTGGTAAAGAATTCTTAAACTTCCCCTTTCCTTAGCTGTAATAACCACACACTCGCGTTCAGTCCAGAATGGAAAGTCTTCTTGAGGTTAATACCTTAGTGCAGTGAGCTTTTCACTCATACTTTTGTGCTTTGCTGAGTTTAACACTTTACCATAGAAGGTAATAACTATATGCCAGAGGAGAGTTTACCTCTGCTTTTGTCTGGTCACATCATTAGGTTTCAAGGGTCATGTATTTCCACTACCTCCCTGTATTTCCAAACTTGTGGAAAAGGGGCAAATGCACTCAGTTGCCAAAGTTACTAGCCCAAACAAGTACAAATATCAAAGGGCATAAAAAGAAAATACCTAAATAAATATTCTCAGAAGTGTTTTTCAGTTTTAATTCCATAGTTCATTTAATGTCTTGTTACACTTTGAATCTAGGAAGGAACAAGCTGAGACTTATTTCAGCCTGAAAGGTAAAAGGGTAAAATTCACATTTCAGCTCACGTTTGTTACAAATCTTCAAATCAGAGAATCCCTACAATTAATTTAACTACAAGAGAGAAAAAATGAAAATATTAACCAGACAGTCTATAGAGTTACACTTGTAACACTTGTTCACCTACAGGACAAACCTCAGACAACTTTAACCAGGACAAATATAAGAGCATGCATAAATGTTTTTTTATTGATTTTTTTTACAAAATTACTTATTTCTGTGTAGAATATAAGGCACTGCTGTACAGGTCCATAAGCTGTGTGCACACATCTTTTATATTAACACAATGAAGAGAAACTTATCCTACGCCATTTTTATTGGAATAGTTCATTAATACACTTCATTTTTAAATAGATTGCTTTGCTTTTTACAGCAGTGCAAATTTAGATTTTCATGCTTTAACCACACTAAAGATGAAAATCAGGCAAAAATACAAGACAGAATTTAAAAAGCCAATAGAAAATTCTGAACTTGCCATTTCAACCTTATTAAAACCAAATTCTATCAAACTCCAAGTACTCGGATTCATTCAGCTATAACTTTCTTCTGCTTTTGCATGAGCAATTACAAGACATTGCACATTCGTCATGTAAAGTTTGGTTTATTAATTAAAGCTTTTACATTTGACCAGTAAACGGTGGAGTTTTAGTTTAAAGCCAATTCATCTTGGACAAAACTGATCACAAGAGACTGACTCAAACTCCCTGCCACTGAATGCAAGATGAAATACCAGCCCACTACAAACCAAATCTTATGCTATAAGATTTAAGTAATTCCACCATTTAAAATGGAAGGTGGAAGATTTCTGCACTGAATGCCTGCTTTGGCCTATTCATATATTTCTAAATATTCGCAAGCAAAGAATAAGGATTGAAGAAAATTTCAGACTATTTTCCCCCCATAGTTGCATGTGTCCGAGGCCTAGTGCTCAAGGAATTACAGATTCAGCAGAAATATATACCGTAGCTAATCTTTTAAAATTATTTTTTAAGACCAAAAATGTTAGAAAAAACAGGAAATTTTAGAAGTTAATGGAAGAACTCACTTTTTAAAATTAAGAAAACTAAAGGATTTGAAAAAAGCCTGTTTATGAAAATGTTTCTGAATACAATCATAGTTCAAAACTACTTGTATTTTTGCTTAATTGTAATGCCTAAATGTCATCACAATCAGGCCATGTTAACTGAAATGACATCCTTCCACAGTAGATATTTGCCACTTAGCTATGCTGAGGTACTTACCTCGTTTCTCTTCTAGTCTCTGCTCAAACTGTCCACAGCTCAAAGCCAGAGCTTGGCTGTTGTCCTGCAGGCTCACTCTCTCACGTAATGTGTCCTGCAGATCGTTTCTCAGCAGGGACTCATCTTCCCAGAGCAAAGAAGCTGCTGTTGACTTGTCTGCAACCTAAAAGTGATCTTAATTATTCCTCAACACAAACCACATCAGAATAGACATCGGCTGTTGTGATGTATGGACCAAACTGAACCTCCCTGGAAAAGGAAAAGGCCGTCGAAGCTATTTTTAAAACTGTGCTTTAACAGCTGCTCTCATACTGGTCTAACTACATGCATGATAGAAGAATATCTTGTTAAATTTGTGGTTAGAAGTGGGTTTTTTTTTCAAAAAAACAAGCTGCCAAATTCAGCGACAGAACCGCCCACATTAGCCACCTACTCAAAAAGCTCTCCACATCCTCTGAAATCACTCTGCCTGCCGAGTTCTTCTCTGCGTCTGAGACACTGTACTTGAGCCTCCCAGCGTGAGCACAGGTACACCTCGGCGCGCACACTGTGGCCGTACCTGGGGCGCTGAGCTCTCAGTCTGGGAGGCAGCCTCAGCGAGGCCACGCTCGGGCCGCGCACGCAGTTTGTCATCCCCTTGCATCTGCCTCTGGGCCTCCAGCTCCGGGAGTCTGTGAAGTGAGACGCAAACCACAAGCCCGAGTGACACCGACAGCAAGGCCCGGCTGACACCTGAACATATCCCCCCCCAGCGCAGTCACCGCAGTTCCGCAAACACCACATCACTTCTCAGCACAAGCAAGTTTATTTTTCATGCACGCGTTTCTTCTAAAAAACTAAAACTTTACTTGCCTCGTGAACCAACGTCTTTCCTTAAAAACCCCTTCCTTGAAACCTTAAGCACGTTTGTATTGCAATTGTCTTTTCCTTATGGTTGCGCAGTGCATTAAAGGATTTTGCTATTTGGCGTAAGTCAAAAATACCAAGTTGTACAAAACTTCTTTAACTGCTACCAGCTGTTTTGAAACATCCAGGCTGGAATGTCTATCTCATCGAGAACTAAAAATGGAATTGTACAAACTTAAACATTGCACAGTTACACAGCCCCATCAGTTGGTGAAAATTACAAATTCCCCTGGTTCTTCAGTGGCCAGCTGTTCCCTTAGCAAGACATACATTTCTAAATAGAGATCAATGACAACATTTGAATCGATAAGAACATGAACTTCTCTTGCTTGAACTGTAAGTCTGGAACACTGTTTATGACTGAATCGGACCATCTCCGGTAGCCGACTGCCGACCATAGCACTGAACTTGGCCAACATATGCAAAGCACCAGATCCGGCTACGCAGTCACTTCGTTTTTGCATTTAATAACTCCCAGTTCATGAAAGGCAGCCGAGAGTTGAAAGTCACGCACTTTAACAGCTGGACGCTTGGTAATCTGCGCTGCAAATCGTAGGCCAGAAGAGCAATAAAACTGTGAAAATATTCTGGGGCTTAAAAAGGGATCTCTAGTCAAATTAGAGCATAACTGTTCTGACTATGCGAGAGAAATATGGGGAGTTTGGGCTTGTGAACCTGGGCTCTCCCTATGCACATTTGCCTGTGACCAAGCCCCCCTCTCACCTGGCAGACAGCTCTTTCTTCAGATGAGCAACCTCAGTCCTACACCTCCGCAGCCTGCTTGCTACTTTAATTAACTCCTCTTCCAGGGAGCACTTATACTGATCGAGCAGCTGGACCCTCTGAAGCCAAACATTCCTTTTTTCTTCCAGCTCGCTGTTCATAGTCTGTTCAGGAAAAAAAAAGCTCATCCTCAATTAAAAAAAAAAGATCTCAACTGCTGTACAGTGTGAACAGGAAGGCTTAAAAAGAGGGACAATAAATTTAAGGAAAAGGAGGTGGAGTGACCTCAATAATTCAGAAAGGAAGTGGATGGACAGATCTATTTTAAGAATAACCATTTTGATTTATGTAATGCCCGTTTCAAAACATCACTTTTACACAACGGCTTTTTTAGCACTTATTTTCTGCATTTCTTGTTTGTGGTTTTTTAATTCTTTGATTTTATTTTGTGTCATTTTCATTTCATGCCATGCACTATAAATCACTTTGAAATGCTATCAAGGGGGCTATGAAAACGTTTTTTACTTGAGCAGATTAAAAAAGGGTTACGTATGTCAAAATCACACTGTGCAATTCTGAATTATTTTGAAACTGCAGAGTTCACACAATATTCAACCTTCTTTTATAGTTACACACTTAATAGCAAGGGTTATAAACAGAACTGAGTTTACCCATCAGCAAGCAAACACTTGTGTAGTATTGATTGATAGTTAAGGCCTTCTTAAAGGACTAAATGCATATATTCTTCAGGTTAAAAAACAATAAGAAACTGTATGACAAAACACAAAGCAGGCCACGTGTTTTAAATCCAGCAGATTGGATAACTGAAAACCCCACAATACCTCTTCTGGTGAACCACAGGGGTATGCTACAATGCAACTAAAAGCCACTTCAAAACAGTTTGTGTTCTCTCTCTCGAAATGTGAAATTCTAGAAAGATAATCTTGGTCAAACTTACCTTAAGCCAGATTTCACGTAGATCTTCACTTTCTATATGGTTTTCTGTGAATCTCTTTAGTGTACACATAACTGCACAGATATCCTCTCTAAAGTCTTGATGCTAAAATACATATAAAGGGATTCATAAGTGAGAAAATATATTGAAGAAAACCTGTTACATGCAATTGTTTCAGTGAGAACTATTCTTAAACTATAAAGGTGCACACAGCTTATTCCAACCAATGAAATTTGGAACTGAAATCCAGCACTGAAGCATCCTGATTTCAGAGCAGACCGCAGACTATCGCTATTACTCTCTCTATAATAAAAGCATTCTCTCCCTTTCAGAAAACGTACTGTTGGCCAACTACCAACAGCTTGGAGAACCAGTTTTGCATTTCTCTCCAGAGTCTCTCAAGAAAAAGTAAAAAAACAAACAAGTATAAACAGTACAGTGAGTCACAAAATGGACAGCTATAAACTCTGCAGTGGAATTTAGATCCGAGGACTTTTCCAGAGGAAATGTATTCACTTGATGCACAGCAGAGCATATTACCAAAAAGGCTCAAATTAGTTATATCGTCAACATTTTTTCCTTTAGTATTAGGATCATGCACAAGTGTTTTATAGTCAGTGTGAGGCTTTATGGCTTTTGCAAGTCATGGTTTATCCCTTGTTTATTGGAAAATTAATACATCTTAATTCTGTTTTGACAATCCTATATACTAAAATAGGAAATACGGTACTATATGTTCTCATTTGGGTTTTTTTGTTGAGGCCTGACAATGAAATAGTTAATTAGGGGAACACACTGATACGCCTGAATTTTAACATCCAAATACTGAAACATCCTTTAGCAACTTAGCTTAATAGACTGAAACCCTAATATACATGTAGTTTCACAATGTAAGCCATGTAATTTCATCGACATGCATCAGATATTTTATCAATACATATGTGTATCAATATGCGTTGGCTATTTTCATTGTCAATGGACTCGGCTTCATCACCAGCATGAACCAGAGTAAGAAGAACAGTACACTGCTAAAACTAAAACACACAGGACACCTCTCTCGTATTACTAAGCATAGAGTTCTGGAAGTGCGCCGCACTGCTGGCTTCCCTGCTCGTACCAGTTTCCGGACAACGGCCTTGAACTCGGCGGAGTTCTGCTCGGACGCGGGGCCCTGCAGCAGCAGGAACACGTCCCTGTCAAGGGTTTCGTCCAGGGGAGCGTGGTACGGCGCGGCCAACATGCTCACCGCCGCAGGAGTCTGGGGACACAAAACAGAGGAGAAAGGTTCCCTCCTGCCACGTTGACCCCAGGACGGTACATCTATTCACTGTACTGTACCTCACTCTCTTATTCAGCTATTCGCAATAAATAAAGCCAACAGTGCTGTCATCTTAAAGCATATCACTCCGAGCTTGAACAGTCTGACTGAAAGCCAAAGAGAAATGATGACACGGGCCAAATCAAACGACTGCGCCACACTGCCCACTTATTTCCAGGCAGACTTGCTGCTACCCCCTCACTCTCGAGTTAGGTCTGCCCACATCCTCCTGCTATCTTTGCTTCCTTACTTTCTAGCCATATCTTTTAAACAGCAGGAGGAATTATCGGTTACTGATAAAGCTAACGGATGCCACCTCCGTCTTTCATGCCCGCGGTACGGATGGATGTACCGCACGTGAAGATGGCCAACCTCTGGTGCCTGCTGAGCCAGGGCCAGCTCCGTCTGCAGCGAGCCCGTGGTGCTCTGGTTCAGTCGGTAGGCTCCCGAGAGACTCATGCCGTCCCTGTGGTGGCCAACGAGAAGACGGTCAAGGAACAGCGCCACAGTCTCTCCGAGCTGTTGAAGCGTCTCTCCTTTCTCTCCCCCCCACCACTCAGATACTCACAAGCCCAGGGCAGGCTGCAGCATCTCCACGTGGCTTTCCAGCTTATTCTTTTCAGCCCTCAGCAGCTGTTGCAAGGAAACACCAGCTCATGTAGGCCAAAAATCCTTCACAAATTAAATTCCTCCTGTTCTTTCATGGAAAGATCATCACCCTATTCTAGAGGCTTGCACCGGTTGCTTAACCATCTAAACAGCCATGAATGACAGCCAGAAAAGACAATAAGCTAATAAAGATGGGTAACTTTCAAATGTATTACAGTTACAAGTAACCTGTAAGCTTTTAAAATGGTAAGCAAGCTGGGGAAGCCTTTTAAAAAATAATCACTTCTACTGATCTATAGTATATGGTGTGTATATGTACTTACGTAGTTACTATGTAATGTAACATTACATCTAAAGCCTTTCCCCCCCCAATTTCTGACTTTTTAGAAAATAACTCCCAATAAAAGTGATAGAAATCAAACTCATTGCTTAAAGTTCTAGATTATGTGAGGTTTTAAAAGGCTCACGTCAGTTACTGAAGAATATTCCTCTATGGTAGACTTCAACTCCTGAATCTGGGCATTTTTCTGTGGAGATTAAAAACAATGTTTATAATGGAATTATCAATTCAAGTGATACCAGTTCCAAGGCTGGACACACCAGAGATATAGCAAAACTAAAACAGGTGATGAGGTTCATCTACTTTTTCATTGAACAGTATTTAAGTTGAAATTTAAACTTATTAGTTTTCATCAAGGCAGATGGTGGCCATACAGGGTTTGAACAATAATCGTACTGCACAGATCACAAAGAACAATTCACCTCACAAAGGAGAGCTTCCTTTTCACCAACAATGTTATCGAGAGAATGCACCTGCATCTAAAGAAGACGGAAGGGAAAAATATTCTGTGAGAATGGAATAAATATACTTACAATAAAACTTTCCAAAAAAGGCCCAAAAATCGTAAAAACATTAGTGATTGAAGATCCTGGCAAAGGTATCTAAAGCAAACTTAATATATTGCTTAGATTTTTACACAAATAAACAGTTTTTATTAAGTTTAATATTTGTTGCTTTTTTGTTTAAAGGATTTCCTTGTTATTCTGTAAAAACTACTTTAGGAAAAATCCTAATATAATTTAAAATCAAGAGATTAGTCAGTAGCAAATATGAATGCTCCTGAAAAGATTTCTGACAATGCTAAGACAAATGACAAGGAGTTTGAATTACCTGGAGATCAGCATTAACAGCGCACAGCTCAGCCATCTTCTTCTGAAGGTGGTCAATGTCCACCATATTCTTAATGTTCTAACAAAAGACAAAACGGGGAATCTGTTCTAAAGAGCAAATGTCAAAATATAAAGCAGAAGATGTATTGATCCCCTTATTTTCAAATCACACACTTCATTAAAGGTAAATATGGACAAGAACATATTTACGTACAGGCAACTGCTCAAGTGTTGGCAGGTGGCAATCCCAATATGCTCATGTAGTTTTTTCCAAAAGCTAGACACTTCAGTTTTTCAAATTGATAAATATTAATTCCCAATTTGAAAAAAAATGATGAAAAGGAGACAAAAACAGAAATGACTTACTCTAACAGGACCTCAAACAGTCCTGTGTTGCCTTTTTAAATGGAAAACATACCTCCTCCTGCAGTGAAGCAATCTTTGAAATAAGAGATTGATTCTCTCTTTCCTGCAAATTGAAATGTTTGAATATGGTCAGTAATGCCTCAAAAAGAAATAAAATCAGGAAGAGCGGCTCATTCCAAATATGGAAAAAAACGTAAACTGCATTGTGCATTTGAAGGCAAACATGAATTTCCAAATTTTTTAAAAAGCAGGCTTTTAAAATAAAAGCATCACAAGTTGTTGCTGTTGGCTACATTGATGAAACCTACTTCCTTCAAGAAACTGGGCTAGATCCTCAGATCAATGTTAATAGCAACCAAACAGCCTAGTTTGCAAATTCTGATATTTTTATAAAGTATTACATCACTACAGACAAGTAACATATCAGAGATTCTTTTTTTCTGGCACATTCCAATGAGTTCTTGAGCCCAGAAAAATGTTCGCTGCATCCACTTTCACAAATCCAAGTTCACTACTTCTACTCATGCATGAGAGACCATCCAGCCCGCTGTACATTCTCCATCACTCTCAGATACACCAGAAATGCTGCTATTTACACCTGTTGCATGAAAGTTAGGAGACTATTTGGAGAGCTCTGGAGAATATTGGAAAGATTGACTCCAGCTGAGAGGCGTTTTAGTCACACAGGTGGTACTGGCCTTGCTGGGATAACTTGAACTAGAGTAGTCCCTATCTCAGAAATGTAATCTGCGTATATTAATGAGGTTGAGAAAAAATTTAGAACGCACCAGTATCCCCACAAAAGAACTGTTATACCCTTGATCCAGGTGCTTCATTCAAACCGTTCCAGTAAGGTGCCTATTGTATAAATGCGTACTCTACAGACCGGCATTGCAAAAGGAATGTAAAAGGTTTTTCCATACTAATTGGCTTTGTCTGCTTAAAATAAATGTAATCCAGACACAATGAAGGATAAAACTAGATTTTCGAATCCTAGTTGAGGCGACACTGATAAGTGTCATGTTTCTGAGCCCGTGAGAGACTGCAAAAAGACAGCAGCCTTGAGGTTGTATCCCTGTAAAAGGTCAAACCGATGGCTTGAAAGTGAATCTGATGAACCTACTTGCTTTATACTACAGATTTTAAGGTTTAATACTGGAGATTCAAAAGATTAAGCAACACATGATGTACTATATAATACCCCTATATGTCTGAATCCTATGATACTTGCTGTTTAAATGTTAAGAGCAACTACTTTTTCTAGAAGGAACGGCTACTGATGGATTTAAAGTTGCATGAGTTTTCTGGTTCTGGGACATAAGGGTATTTTTCTTATAAGGGATGGATGGATGGATGGATGGATGGATTTAGGGAGTCGGAGATGAAGTCTCAATGAGGAACCTCTGTCATCTGCTAAAGGGCTTGCACCCAGAGCATGAGGCGGCCTCATGCTGGAGACTACTGCTCGCTCTGCTGGGAAATCCAGTTGGTGGCACTCGATTGGAGAGCAGTAGGATGTTCTGGTCTCCAGTTCGGCACCGTTTAACACTGAAAATGAACAGCTAGCTTGGCGAAACCTTGCTGTTGGGTGGTAACCCTCAGCATGGTTGTGTCTGGTGACCAGTGTCCCCAAAGCATCAGAGAAATTACGACGATTTTTTTTGCTTAAACCTTTCAAAGATCAAATTTGTATAATGTTCCTAATGAAATATTTAAGCCCAAGGTATTGCATAAGCAATTGCAACGCTAAGCACCTTTCAAAACTTGCATTTTTGGGGGGTTTCATTGCATATTAAGAAGGCAGGTAACTTATAAAGCTACTGAGTCTATAAATTTCTAAAATTTTTAGCATATCTGACCGCCTGACTCTCACCATCTGTTTGTTCTGAGCCACAGACCTGGCTCTGTTCTCCTCCATGTTATTTAGAGTTACTTTCATTTCCTCCAGTTCCCCCTTCAGCAGCTTCTCCTTCATGGCAGACTGCTGGCCACTGAAACAAAGCAAACCTCAAAGTAACTGACCCAGCCACAGCTGAAGGAATCACAGGCTGGTGCTGTGTATTGAGATTTGACAGTTGGATACAACTATTGAGCGTCAAGCATTTTTTTTTTACATATAATGCAACTTCATCAGTTTATGAAGTTACTATAAAGTTTACCCATTTATTAAACTCAGCACCTCCCAAATGGACGTCATAACCCCAATCTTTCACACTCAATATGATCAAAGTCATGTCCTCTTGCAATATGCAATAATACATTTCAATTACCTCCTTTCAGAACATTAAGAGATTTGCAATCAAAATTAAAAGTAAAATGCAATGCAGAGAGCACTTTCACATAGTTTCCACTTATGCATTTAAAACCAAGAACAGGTGGCACCTTTTTGTGCAAATGATTGTGGGAGTATGAAACTATCAAGGCATGCTATTGAGGTTAACACCCTAGCTTCTGTCAAGATCATTGAGATCATGAGATCCCTGATCTCATCCAGTCATTCTTGAAAGCAGCTAACGTGTCAACTTCAATAACACGGCTCAGTTATAGTCAACTAGATGATCAATTAGCCACTAACTAGCAAACAAGCTAGATTTCCTGAATGGCCTCTGCTTGTTTGTAACTCTGTATGTTCTTATACATCTTATGCATTCATTTGTCATGTATTTGTCAGGCAAATGTGACGCTATAACAAGCACTCCTAATGCAAGTTTTATTTTCCCTTCTGCAGTGGTCACATTAGATACATTTCAACCAGTACACCCAATTAAGGGTTCTTCACAAACTCGGCTCAAAAACAGGACAGATAACATTCAGCTTTGTAAGAGTGAATACAAATTTCAAGACAGAAAAAGCAAACCAATCAGACTGTGATTCACAACATATCAGGAACCAAGACCAACAGGGGCAGCAAACCACTAGGACAATGCAAGGGAACTACCAGCACATAAGACAAGACCTGCAGTCACCCATCACCTTTTAGCCTGTGTCTTGAGTTCCTCATTTTCTTCCATTAATTTGTTGTTTGTTTCCTCCATGGTGTCCACAGCCAGTTTCAGCTTACGCACCTCATCCTGCAGTTTTTGGTTGTTGAACTGGAGGTCTGCCACGCAGTAGACGAGATCTGATGTCTCTCTATGAAATGGAATATAAAAGGATCATTTCCTCATTCCCTCCATCGCTCGTCAACATTCAGAAGTCATGCTGGATGGCTTCACAATTTCCTTTAACTCCAACATTAAAGCAAGTGAGATCTAATGCCGTTAGGAATTGGGGATACATGGAAAGCTAACAAAATGGATGTCTGTGAAACGTCTTGCTCTTCACAGTTAATCCTATGCTTTTATTTGGGAATTGTGCAGATGTTCCATTTTTGGTCCTTAGGTATAGTATATGCAAATAATGCTCAGATACCTATACAAGGAATACACATTTTTTAGAACATTACAACAGCATAAACTATCCTAATCAACTTTATAATATTATAAAGAGATATCTCAGATTAATAAGTGAAGAAAACACAACTGTTCCACTTACAGATCACCTCTTGACACTTCTCCCCCAAATGCCTCTAAACTGCCCACCGTCATGTTCATTGCAAAAGATTTTCTGGCTATAAAACACAAAAGATAAAGCTCTGAATCCAAATACTTGCCAGTCAGACATGCACATCTTTCTAACTTGGCAATGGATGCTTTCTGTATATATTCCATCTCCAAAGAGACCCTCCAATGTCAAAAACGAATAAAGATGCTGGACGCAATGCAAAAGAAAGCCGTTAAGCTCAGGAGCACAGGAGAATATTTTAACCCATAGTCAATACTATGACACCTTAGTATTAACAGGTAATACTTATTCCCAAACATTTGTGTCAGGTGTTCACTGCTACAGAGCTAGGACATTCCTGCAAGGCTTTCACCTGAAAGACTGTCTGACAACTTCTGTGAGTCTTCTGTTTCACCTTCAGCTGTAGTCTCATCCCTGCAGAAGAAAACAGTGTTTGAAATTAAACTTTTAATCCTTTATTCCACCAGCCCCTTATAGAAACACTACCTTTTCACTGAGCATTTGGAGGATCCTTGGGCTGATTTTGAATACAGTAAAACACAAACATAGCGGTTACAAAATGTCTTATCAGCTGCACTATTTTTAATGGATAACATAACACTATAAGTCATAAGAATAGTCAGCCCATTTGGTATTTAGAAATTAACGGGCCCAAGGATTTCATGGAGCCATTTCTTGAAAGAAACCAGGGTACTGACTTAAACAAAATGGCTGGGTTGCTTATTTCAAACTCCCACAACCCTTTTGGGTAAAGACATGACTCCCGTTCTCAGTTTTCATGTACTGTGCACATGGATGGTATTTAGACTTAAATTCAGCATTTATCTTATGAAATATTCAGATCTTTTGAAGCCATAGTAATGAACAGTAAGTCTTTATCAGTTCTAAAGGTTTTTGAGGTTTATTAACATCTCAGAATTACAAATCTGAACGACATTTGATCCCAGGATATTTGTGACTTCAGAGCTCCAACACTTCAATTACATGTAAATGCCTTAAGGTCTATATTCAGTACTAAAGAGATTTAATTCCTTCAACCTGCATGCATATTACTTCCCATAGTGACGGCAAAGAATTCATATTAAAGCTCTCGCCAAGGCACTTTCTTATATTTCTTGTCTTAAAACTTCAGATTTACAGTAGAAAGCATACCTTGCACTAGTGAAAAGGGGAATGCACTAATGGCTAAGTGATTCTGCAATTTCATAGGGCATTAACATATTCAAGGCCATCAGTTCAACATCAATCTGTCCAGGGTATTCTGTAATGGGTTTTAGTGACAGTTTCCTTATGTACATTCCTCAAGAGCTTCTCGCAAAGTGTAAGCCTGATACATACAGTATGCACTACCATGATCATATAAAGCATACTTCTTTTAACAAGACAGGAAGGAGGAGACAAGATGCAATGGAGAAAAGGTCCTTTTCTGAAAAGGTTAAATGTCCTCTTCAGATGCTGATCCATCCGTTTTCTGACTGCTTTATCCAATACCGGGCTGCAGGAGACCCAGCATGCAACAGGTACAAGCAGGGCCCACCCTGAACGGGATGCCAAACCATCGCAGGGCACACACAGACGCAAACATGCACACACTCGCACCAGGGCAAACAATCCCAGAGGCCAACTGACCTACCAGTAGGTCCAAATGACAGTGGGAGGTAACCGGACCAGCAGGAGGAAACCCACACAAACATACAGATAGTACTCAGGATCTGGAATTAAACCCAGGTCCCCAGAGCTGCAAAGCAGCAATGTTAACCCCTGCACCATCCTCTCCAGATTGATTTACAAATCTGTTACACCTACAGTTTGCTATAGAAAAAAAAATCTCCAGTTTCTCTCCCACAGATCATATGCTTTACCCATCATGCACTGAGGAACAAACATTACACCAGAACACATTTTTCTGTGTGTTGCAAAGAGAACAATCAGCTGAACAGATAACTGAAACCCTCCTAAATTTTCTCATTTATTTTAGCCGCTTATCTTAAGCACTAATACCCCCAAGTGGATTAATATAACGTGGCATGCGGTTCTATTAGAAATACAGACATTTCCAGCAATCAGAATTCAACCAATAATCTACCTACAGGAATAAGCATACATGCCCAGGTCAAGGAATACCCTGAGAGTTATAAATTAATATACTCAAAGTTACTCAAAAACAAATACAATTACCAAGATAAAGGTTTAGTTCAAAGCACAATTCCTGTATATGATATGTAAGAGGTCGTGAATAAATGGAGGTAGTAAACTTTAAATTCTCATGCAAGGCGTTGATTCACGAGCACTTTAAATTACACAATGAACCCTTTCTTTTAAGTAACTTATTTAAAATATAACAGATGCTGTGGAAACAACCAACTTAATTTTTACTTATGGAAAATGATCTTGAACTTGCAGCTCAAGAGGCCAAAAGCCTGTTTCCGTTAGATGAGGACCAGTTGATTAACGTCTCGTTAATGCTCTCACCCGTGATTGCGACAGTCATTGATCCACTCTCTCATGATGGCGTGGTAGGTCTCCAGGTCGATGGAGATGTCCCTGTGTTCCGGGTCCAGCATGTTGCACAGCTCCTCCAGGCCGCTGTCCTCGGATTCTCGGCTGGTGGTGTGCCGGAGGTAGTCGACAATCCTGGAGACGGACACCTTGCCTGGAACAGACGGGCGACAGTCTGCCTTCGGATTACTGGATGCCATCGGCGAATTTTCCACGAGCCCCGTACACGGATCTTCAACAACAGATGAGCCTGACAGATTGACCACTTCAGATATCAACCAAAATTAAATCCGCCTACTTGTGCGGTGGAAAAAGAACAACCATACGCATTTCTCAGTGAATCACACCAGCCACCAAGGAATTCAAAACAGCAAACATTACGTAAACCTTATGTATACAGAAGCCTTATCCCCCCCCAGAAACACTAGCACACATACAAAAAAAGAAAAGATACAAAATGCACATTGATGCCTTTTAATTTATTGAAGCCATCAGGTTGGACCTTCTATAATACTGAAATACACAATGTAAAATATACTTCAGCTGCCCGAGTTCTCAAATATCTAAAAAAGTTCATTTTTCAGGAGCACAGTTTTTTTATGGCATTGGACGCTGTTATGGATCTTCCTGAGAAGCAGGTAAGCAGGTGTTGCTATGGAAATAATATTTGCAGTCCTCTTTTCCCTCCTAAAAAAAGTGTTTCAAATTGCTTTCTGTTGATCTTAACCAGTTTACCATGTAAAAGTCAACAAAGAGCTTAGAGAAGCGGGCTACTTCCATTTGAGAAATAACCAAAAGGCAAGGCAGCCTGGGGCCTATGGTGTCTCACTGCTCAGTGATGCACCATTAAGCACAAAGTATAGCCCAGGGCCTCAATACATGAATAAGAACAAGTTGTGACACAGTCAGTCAGCAGAGCTTTTAAAGAAAAACTCATTACATAATAATGATTTCTACACTGCCCTGTGTTGGGGAAATGATGCTTGCATAAACTTTGTTCCCTTTCTGTGTATCCTGAGTAATGAACATCATAGTGCAAAGCACGGTATGACCATTTTCTTATCACGCATCATAACAAAGCACTGCCATTGAAAGAAAAGACACAGCAAGTTTACAGAAAGTTTAAAGAAATTTCATAGCAATATACCTCATTCACGGTGGAAAATAAGAGCAAAACAGCAGGGAACGGCTCTTAGTTTCAGGCATACTTCTATAGACACTACAAAGATGACTTGACATTTTATGTGAGGTGACAAGGCCAGCAGCTGTATTACCCCACAACTCGCAACTGACAAACCCACTGAACCTCAGCAGTGTGAGTCTGGTCAGTACCTGGTTGGGAGACTCCTGGGAAAAACTAAGGTGGCTGCTGGAAGAGGTGTTAGTGGGGCCAGTAGGGGGCGATCACACAAGTCTGTGTGGGTCCTAATACACCAGCATAGTGACAGGGACATCTTACTGTAAAAAAGGACCGTTCTTCAGATGAGTTGTAAATCCAGGGTCCTGACTCCTTCATTAAAAATCCCAGGGTGTTTCTCGAAAAGAGTAGGGGTGTTACCCTGGCGTCCTGGCCAAATTTCCCTCTAGCCTTTACCAATAATGGCCTCCTAATAATCCCCATCTCTGAACTGGCTTCATCACTCTGTTCTCCACCCCACTGATAGTTGATGCGAGGTGAGCATTCTGGCGCACTATGGCTGCCGTCGCATCATCCAGGTGGGGCTGCACACTGGTGATGGTGGAGGGGAGTCTGTAAAGCTCTTTGAGTGGAGTGTCCAAGAGCGCTCTATATAAATGCAAGGAACTATTATAAGGGAATTTCAAGTGACCTTAAGTCTGAAATCCATCCATAATTTTCTCTCTCTCTTCATCAAGTACTGTACATGGTTGTGGGTGAGCCAGAATCTAACCGAGCAAGCAATGGAAGTCAGGTGGGAGGCACCCTAGACGGGGTGTCAGTCCATCCCAGAGCACACACAGACACACACTCACACCAGGGCTAATTTAACAGGAGCCAACGTACCTACCAGTATGACAACCGCAGCCACACCTGGATTCAAACTCAGTTGCTCACAAGCTCTGAAGCAGCAGAGCTTCTTCCCACACAGCGAAGAACTCCACAAGATCCAAAAAGACAGGGCCACCCACGACTAATAACTCATCTCTATTCTGGTTAAAAGGTGGTGGTGATAATTTCTGTAATTCTCTGTAATTTCTGTAATGTCTCTAATCTCTGCCATTCTGCATCAATATTAGTGGGAGCCTGGCCAGTTCTCCATCTGATAGAAAGATCCTTTTCCTGTAGGTTAAAAGCTGGTGGCTTTAGGATTCACACTTTAGGGAACACGTGCTGCCTTGTGACCAGGCTTTAATCATTGTTGCTGGCTACTCCAAAGCTGCAGAGATATTAGGGAAAAGTAATTGGACACAAGTATGCTGATAGTACAGTAAGTATTGTAGTGCGACCAACCATCTGTGTATCCAACTGGGATTTGTGTATATGAGTGTGAGCTGGCAAGCCATGTTTGACCAGTTAGAAACCAGTGGGAGGATGCTGCCATTTGAACTACAGTGTTTTATTAATAATTCAATACCAGCAGATTTATGTCCCATAAACCAGACCAGTAGTTCTCAGCTCTAATCCTGGGGTTGTCCAGTTCTTCAGTGCAGGATAATTGACTTTGATTTTCTATTTGATTTTCTTTCCACTCTTAAAATGTTGAATGGGGTTTGAAATTAGTCTCGCCACTATACCAATTACAAATGGCACTGTAACTTCTGAGTTTCAAAGCTCCTTCACTGAAGTGGCTTTGCTGAAATATAAACTATTTCACCTCTGCAGTACAGCCAAAACATGCATTATGGGAGTGTCTGATACATTGTCAGTCATAACTGGCCATATTTCATAATTGTATCACCTGTTAAGAACTGTTTAGACAGAAATATGTAAGTGAGCAACAAAATAGACCGATTGTAATGCCATAGTTCCAAATTGTTGAAACAATTTGCCCAAAGTAGGGTGTTTAGCAAACCAAGAACTGAGTGCATGAACATTACCAATTGCTAAACATGTAAGCCAATCAGTTAAAGGTATGAATTAGCACCAGGTATGAATTTGTTACAGCACAGTTGTAACAAAAACACACAGACAGGAGCTCTGCAGGATCAAAGCTGGTCCCAGACAATTACTCTTCTCATTGAAGATACAGTAAATGCACTCTTTTAGACCAGACTTATGCTCTGTTTCCTTGTTTTATAGGGATTTAAGTCACCCTTCTATTAACCTGAACCTTTAAGAAGCCATAATAAGACAACCAGCTAAAGTTGTTCCTATTAGTTTATAAATCAGCCTGGACTAAGAAAATACACTTACCTCTGCGCTGTGTGTCACAAGCATGAAAGATGGTGTCCAAGAGATCCTCTTCACAAATCAGGCTTATTTCTGAAGCATTGTCTTTTCTGCACCGAGATGAAAGTAGATTACCTAAATACAAAAAAAGGCGCAATTTGTAAATTAGCTTTGGAATCACATCATCTCAGTGCAACCCTGCGAGACCCTGCAGTGCAAATATACAGCAATATTATGACAATTAAAATCATGTTTGATCCAATTAAGAAAGGAAATCTGTGCTGGTGTCTCGCAGGACTAAGATGTGTAAAGCACTTAGACCTTTGATAACAGTGCTGTCTTTTGCCGATCTGATTTTCTACCAGGAGGATCTCGCACAACAAGATCTTTATTCATTAGAAGTCTCTGCACGAGCAAAGGCTGAGTTATTTTTTACCACACATTCACAGGAGGATTTAGACAGGCATTCCATAAATATTCTTTTGATAACATCAGTGATTCAGGATAACAAGTCCACATGCAAGAAGCGGTCAGGATGTCTTTTTCCGAGTGGGCAGACAGACTGACCCTGAACCATCTACATCATAATTGAATTCACTTCTGAACAGTGAAGGATGCATACCTGTGCCTCATGATCCTATTTTGCAATTGATCTCCCCCCCTTAAACTGTACAGCATAAGTAAAAGCATTACACTGTTACATTTCCCTCTGAACGCTCAAATGCAAACAGAGCTGTAAAATAAAAACGCCGAAGGGAAGGGCAGGTTTAATTACCGGTGCCTTCCCCCATGGAGAGTCTTTTCACTACCAGAGCTTGGTAGGCCCTGTCGCACTCCTGCTTCTCGGGGGAGCTGTAGAGGTGGACACCGCGCGACACGAGATTCCCCTCGTTTCTGTCCAGACTGGAGCTCCTGTCCTCTGCTCTCCTATAGGTGGGGCACTTGGAAAAGCTGAAATAATTCTCCCCTGTCTGGGAGGTGGGTGTTGAGCAGCTCCGGGACCACGGCCTAATCTGCCAGGGTCTCCTCTCCCCTGTGAGGCTTAAGATGGTATAGGTGGCGTTTGCTGGAGACACTCCATTGGCAGAGTGGAGTGGAAACGCTGAGCCGTTTGGGGTCATGACCTCCATTCCGGGGCTCCTGAAGCACGGAGAGTCGCCCTCCTTGTTCCTGACCGTCCGTTTTTTCAGGATAGCCTCCAGGTTCCTCTTCAGGCTGGTCTGGGGGCTGTCGTAGTTCCGGGACTGGAATTTGGGGATCTGAAAAGGCGAGTTAGCCTCTTGATCCCGTCTCTGAATGGTCTGGATCTTGCGGCAGATGCTGTCCACTGGATTGTGGCGCCTCTGGCCGGCCGTGAAATCCGAAGTCATTGTCAGATGCTCTTTTGCGGTCTTCCCCTTTCTGGAAAACAGTTGATGCAAAAATAAAAACATTTGTAGAAATGTCACAATTTAGAGCGCTAAACCTAAAGAGTGGACAAAAACAGACTAGTGCCAATTTTTCAGCAGACATCCTGTTTAGAAATTAATGACACACGTTGTTTCCACTGAGATGAGTGTGTACCTTTGAATTTTGGAAAGCCCAGCCCTTGTTAGTACACATGCTATCGAGATAGAACAAACTAGCAGTGAACCAAATAGTACAGAAATTCTCCATTGTGACTTCATGAATAGGGAACAAGTTCTTCACCATCATTCACAACATTTTCATTTTACCTTGAGTATTATTATTTGTGAAACATCATACAATTTAGCTGCGGAAAAGGAAAACTACGGTTTACAACTAAGCGACTGAAATTCCATTGAAGAGAGACGAATGGAACACAAGAGTATTTGTCTACGAGGAAAGCAAAAATGTTAAACAGCTTATTTCTAAAAAAAAGACATTGAAACGCGAGCCATAACTATTCGCCACAGTAATATTTAGAACCAGCAGCATTATTTTAATAGCATCAATAATCCATTGATTGTCCCTGTGAATGAAAACAATTTAAGCACGGCGTGGCAGTCAGTGTAAGGAGTCAAACCAAACATTTGAAGTTTTTTTTTTATCAGTAAACGAGTTCAACTTGCTAAAAGATGCGTTTCTAAATAAAAAAAAGAAAAGTCTGGGGTGTCCATCCGTTTTGACGGAAAATAATTTTAGTTCAACTCAGTCCTATGCAGTCAAAGCGTTTGCTTTACTTTTGCGGCTTGAGCAGTACACAGACATTAACCTTTTTCACTGTATCATTACAGAATTCGTACTTAAAGCTGCTGCAAACAATCTTACTTTTCTTATTCTTCGCGCTTCTATATATCACCCGGGCTTGGAATATTATCCGGTCTACCAAGAAATCCAGAGTATTTCCCAAATAGCCATATGATTTCAAAAGAACGCGCCAACCTGACGTACGTATTTAAAAGCCCAGCAGTCTTAAGTACTACTGCAGTACGTCCTCATCCTCATTATCATACAAGCCAGTAACGCCCCCTCGTGGCTAATGAAAATGTTGCGTAAGAAATAATAAAAAAATGACTTCCTCTTCTACAGACATTAGATACTGCATACGATTTCTAAATGTGTTTCCAGTGACGTCACATATACAATTAAAATGACTATTCATACAATGCAGTGATACTCTCCTTTAAAATAATTATTACACGACAGCAGCAGACTACTGTTTTCTTTTGTTTGAACGCATGATAAACTCATTGTTAAGTCATATACTGTATAATACTGACGCAGTTACCCACCTGAACTGCTTTATATATAATACTGTACAGCTTATAAATTTAAACTTAGAATGCACGGAATATACCTCCTACTGCCAAATCAATTAACTAAATTGTTAACTCTAAATTAATATAAATATGTGGGAAATATTGTTTGTTTAATCAACATTGAATACATTTATATTTTTCCTGTTTTGATTATTGCATGACAAAGAACTAAGTGTCATTATTATGTTATTATTACTGATATATGGTGTCCGGAACAATTATTTCCTCTTTCCTCTTTCACAATGTAACTATCTTCTTAGTAATCAGAAAATCCTGTACAATGTGTGTTCTGGTCTGGTCTGTTTCAGGGCCTGCGCAAGGTCCAGATACATGTGTTTGTGTGATCTCCATTGACTGCTTGGTGTTTTGTCAAAGTTTACTGTAACATGTGGTCGGGTTTTGCTCATTTTAATCTGGAGGTGCTCTGTACATCCCTGATGTTTAGTTAATGAGCCTGTCATACTGCAGTAGTTAATGAGCAGTGTTAGCACCTTTGAGCCTGAGTTAGTCATATTTCAGAAGCTAGGCAAGCTAGACCTGGTCAGTACTGGGATTTGAGACCTCCAAGGAAAGCTACATTTCTACTGTAAGTGTTGGTATACAAGATAAATTTCTGGCCCAATACCTCAGTATGATCATTAGTGGAAGCTATGCTGTAGGAGACACTGTTCTGCAGATGAGATGTTAAAGCAAAGTCCAACTTGGAGATTTAAGATAAAAGTAAATGTGTTAACCTCAGTGTTCTAGCTTAATTCCACTGTCCTCCCCAAAGTTCCCATTGAATTAATTTGGAATAGCAGATTCTATCTTCTCCACCTGATCTGCTGTATACCAGGGCTGCTGGAGTTTACTGGCTGCCAAGGTTTCAACTAGGTGGATAGAGCACTTCTGTGACCCTCTCCTATAGCGCCGACAAATATGGAAATTTCTTAGTTTTAACATGATAGCGTACTTGAATCAAAACCAGTCTTTATGTAAATATTCAAATCCTAAGGGGTTCCTAAAATTTTTTCAGCGCTCTATTGTCATCCTCTGCCTAGCTGGAGAGCCACGGAGAGAGCTAGCATTGCCATGGCACATGGCGCCATCTCTTTTCCCTGTCTGTTTTGCCCATTGCCATGGAATTACAATCAGACAGGAGCCCTGTATAACCTGGGGCAATTTATGAACACGCCGGCATCAGGTGGTTCAGGTTGCTCAAAGTCTGCTTGGACTAAGATCAGGTCTCTGGTGTATTGTTTGCATGGATTACTGGGTTCCTGTCACGATCGTAAACCCCTCCTCTTAAGGACGCTCCAGCCCTTCCTTGTTTTATACTCATCTCCCGCACCTGCCTCCAGTTCCAACCCCCCGAGCTAAATAAGACAGACGTTCCTGCCTATCGGGGCTCAGCTTTGGAAGATGGACGCCCGGAAGCCTGCCTATCCACAAGTCCCGGAGTGTCTCGACAGCACAGGCTTCATCACGGCGCCCTGACCTACTGAGTCCGGGATTAGGGAGTGTCTGGTCCTGTTACCCCCCCTTTTTAATTCCCCCGTCCCTCCGCCGGATCCCGCTCCGGCTTTTATCTCTGTTTGTCTGTCAGGATGGATTACCCGGTCTTGGACATTTGCTACACTCTTGGATTTGCCTTGGACTCCCTTGGACTGTTTGCCTCGGCCACACCTCCCCCGAACACCAGAGCACCATGGACACGCCCCCTGTTTTCCTTCCAGCACCTTGCGTGTCTTTTTTCCCACGTTTTCTTCACTCCCCCCCTGATTGTGTTGTCTGCATAGGGTCCTGAAAGAACGCTTCGTGACAGTTCCCCAGAATCTGTTTTCCCGACCGTGTGCTTCTCTTGGATTCCTGACCTCACATTTGGTATTTACTATGCCTTTGGATTTCTCTAGCACTCTATTTCTGGCTATGGACTTGGCTTGTGTTTTGACCCTGGCTTTGGATTTCCTTGGTGCTTTGCTTCCAGTTCCTTATTGGTTTTGGACTCTGATTTCTATGCCCTTGGACTGTGTTTGCCTGCCTGTGTACTTTGCTTAGCAATTCCTTTGCTTACTGGCCACACTACGCTGCCTGCTCATGCCTGCTTGCTTAGTTCTGACTGCCCTGCTTCATTACTCATCTTCCCCTGGGTTTACCTCTCGCACAACAGACTGGTGCTTAATTCCATCTTAAGCAGAAGACATTACGTCTAGACAGTATGTGAAAGCACTATGGGACTCTTTAGGATGAAAAGGGCTTTACCAGAGCAAAGAATTATCATTATCATTTGGCAATAGATCTTCCATCCCGGTTCTACCTTCCCTGGCTTTTAAATCAGCAATGCTGAGCAATAGTCACCACTCATTGGTATTCATTTTTGTGGAGGTAGATTCATGTCTTTCCATCCAGCTCATTCCAGTTTATATTTTGGGTATGTTTTTTCAAATCAGATCCATATCCATTCTATCCGTATCAAGCAAGAGGAAAATGGGCTGCCAGCTCTTAATGTAGAAGTACTGTGTTGACCTAAGATGAAGGCCCAAAGCATCCACACAGATCTTTCCTTAAGTTATTGGGAGCCCCCTACAGATTCAGAACATTTTAAAATTGAAAATAAGTAACAGGTAGACATTAACTGCTCAGTGCTTGTGTTTATTGTATTTAATATTTGACATTTTTGACACTCTTTATTCCTTGTTTGCCTGAAAATGGAAATAAAATAAACACTGACTTAATTACTTGTGCGCCTTTATAACATTAGAAGCGCATTCAGAGGATGATTTCATCTACGGAACGTGTAAAACGTTTTAGGTCTATCTTTTCATTCCAGATTGAAATAAGCAGCCTGCAGAAAATAACAATAGCAAGCATTCTTAGGGGCCTGATGAAAATGACAATAGTAGGCATTCTTAGTAGCCTGATGAAAATGACGATATCCTTTGTGATTGCTTCTTTATGAATGCTGCACTTCTTTTAAATCGCTGGCAGTGATTTTGTAAGATATGCAATGAAAACAGTATATGTAGTGAAGTTTTTACAACTGTATTTCTACACTTCTAACCTTTAGTATAAAATAATGGAATTATCATTTTATATCGTTAATAATTTATTTGCATTGATACATTTTAATTTGTAAAATGTAACATTACCATACAATGCACTCATAAGACCTCTTTAAGAATGTATTACAAAAAACATATTGCTGCTCTGACATCAGCAAAGAGATAAGTAATTGATCACTCAAATGCACTCATGAGAGACCAAAAGAACTTTGCAGTCTTGAGCTGAGAAGACTATAGACCTGATTGAAGTATTCAAGGTCCTCAAAGCATTTCAAGACCCAGTAGTAAAACACAAACCAGAGGACATACAGTACGCAGAAACTAGAGGGATGTGCATTTAACAGGAGGCATGTTTTAAAAAAGTCTGGAACTAGCTACCCAGTCATGCTGTCAAAGATGGGATGCTCGTGTTTCATTGAAGATATGTGGAATAAGATACAGCATCGAATGTATCTATAGTTGTGAATGCATTATTTGCCATCTGATGAAGATCTAGTGGGCTTATTTTTACCCACCCATCCATTTTTTATTTGGTTGCCTAGTAAGGTTTTTGGTGGCCTATTTTATAAAAAACGATCAGCATATAAAATTACAATTAAAGTCCCCTACCTCATTAGATAAAGTACAATTCTCCTGTCTAAATGAAGTCAAAGAGTAAATGCATTCGCATTAACAGTATGTTAATAACTTACATTAAAGTCAAGATTAGGGCACAGGGAATCTCCTCTATGGTGTTTTGGAGGTGGTGTACCATAGAAGCTGCCAGGTTTTGGAAGAGATGTTTGATTATATCAACAGGAGTCTATAGACTCCTCTGCACACTGCAGTGTACTGTGGTAAACAGGTTAGTCTAGTACTATGATGCCACTACTGCAGTTGATTTAAATGGGATTATTGCCACCATGGTTTCAAAATTAGGTGTCCTGTCAAACTCTCAAAGACACCAGTGTGAAGTGATGTGATGGTTCTGGTTTGAAAGCTTGCAAAGACAGATTCAACATCATCACCTTGGTGACCATGAGGTCAGGCCTGTGGGAGCACTGTCGCTCTGCCTTTAGTGTTAAACCTGTCCTCCTTCATGTAATTTGTTCATACACCTTTACTGACGTGATAAATTCATATTCACACACTTATTCCTATTTGCCTTTCCCTCTCCAGTATGGATTTTGCCTTGTGGAAGATATGAATGAACTTTATGGACCCCACCTGTTCAAATAGAAGATGTGGAGTCCGCAGTAGCAGGAATCGAGCTAGGTGTCTCATGCTCATCAACCTTATTTTGTGTGGAAATAATCTTTTGAAAAAATATAATCGGTTACAAAGAATGAATTAACTCATTTAAAATGGAAAAAGTACAAACTGTAATTCTTTATGGATTACATAATCACTACATCAAGTGGGGAAAAAAGGACATTGGATAAACTCGATGAAAACATACAGTTTGAGTAAACTGGGCGTTTATTTTCACACGGGCTTCCCAAACGTTAAATGTCAGGGGGAAAAGGATACAAAACGCATTTTACACACACATTTATTCGTAAATTGTTTCGGTGACCCAAATCGCATTTTAGAAATCGTTCCTAGACCTAGCTCTTCCTTTATATTGCTAATGTGAACGTCCAAATACATATTTAATTGATATATCTGTTGAAATGCAACTTCAGTTTATTTCCTCCGATAGCAATGTGCAATGTTGTTGATAATGTTTAATCTTTAAGCACCTTAATCCTCTGTGACAGGGAGCGCAGCCTGTATTCCATATTCATCATGGCGAGTTCAGAAGCCGCTCCAGCACCGGCAGCCTCCGCGGCGACGCACAAGGTAAAGCAATTAATCTAACAGAAGATCTGTACATTTACCGGCAATTATATTCCGTCACGCCTTGTTCCGCTATGGAATTTATTGAATTCTTGGCATAGGTCAAGTAAAATCGTAGCCGATACATAAATCTACAAGGTCATGTGTGCACAGTGGGGATTAAGTGCATTTTAATCTGTTTTATGAGCTTGGTATCTGCAAGGATAGAATTTGTGTTTAGAGCAGTAGGTAACAGTTTTGCGCTGAAGGATTTTGTCGTTTTATATTTTGTAAGAAAAAAAAAGAACGGTTCTCTAAAATACCTCAGTTTGTAGACCAAGCATCGAATTAAAGGTGTTATTTGTCTTTCCATTTAGTGACAGTGTTCTGCACCACAGCCTATGTTGATTTTATTTTATTTTTTGCGATTTACCGATTAAGTATAGGGTTTCATATTTTATAGGTTCATATGTGATTATGTAATGTGACTGTGCCGCACTGAGCATGCATAGATACCAAAATAGATCGCAGCTGCTGGGTCAGATGTCCTGTCTGTATGTTCATTTTTGCATTGAATTCTCAGCTCATGCAATGCTTTTGCACATTGAAATAACAATCTTCCACTGCAATATTCGTACTGCGGTACACCAGTAACCCAGCAATTATTACACATATATTTAATAATAAGTGCATCCACTGTGTATGAGCCTGCTGTTCTGTATTTATTTGCAATAGTACTTTTGAAGTTCCTTGCTGCAATGTTAATATTCAACTAATCTTTTATCCGAAAATGCAAAATACTTATTACAATTATAATTAATCTCACTTTTAATATAAGTTTTGATATATATAATATATATATTTTAAATCTTTGTAAAATAGTATTGGTTTTCCTCTGCCTTGGATTGTTGTTGGACAATGGTAAATCTTTCTTCTAGAAAACCTAACATACAGCAATATCACTGAGGTGCACAAATTCCTTGGGATTAAAGGTTTTAAAGAGAGAAAAACCATATCAGTCACGTATTGAAAAAAGCCTGTTTCTTTTCTGTTATAAAGTGCTCAACCCCAGAATGGGATCACAGTGGGAACGTCCTTCCAGATGCTCTGAATTAGACAGATGAGACTCCATGCTGCTAGGACACTTGATTTCATTAGTATTTATCCAGCAGCTCCTTCTCCCTTCCTTCTTAAACTGTAGTTATGATTTTCCAATTACCGATATGAATTAAGGTTGCCAGTGCCCTTTTGCACAAAACTCAATATGGGTTAAATCACTCTTTGATTTTGTTTTGAATACATTGTGAATATTTAATCTTGATTTTCTCTTTTTCCAGGGGTGCACCAAAGACTGTTGTGCTAATGATGCCCCAGGGTGCAGTATGAGTGAGACCAACAGCTTCAAGGTACACTTAGTGATCAACTAAGCTGTATGGAGTTCACTAACATGCTGTACATGCTTTCACAGGAATTCTGTGTCTGGTTTCACTTCCATCTAGTGTATGTCTGCCATAGGAGCTCCGTAAAAACTATTTAAAATGTAAGCACCTGCAGATCAACAATTCGAATATAGAGGGTTTGAAGTACAGGTAATATACAGGTCACTTTCAGCGAACAGTGCTTTGTAGACATTCATTGAGGTAGTTTTTCATCTAGAAGTTTATATTCTGTACACACTTTGTGAGCTAGTTTAATTTCTAGATGTGTATACCAGTTGAAGGCCACAGTGCCACAGAGTTCAGCTCTATTATCATTCTCTGTAAATGCGGAAACATGTTTCAGGTCAAATGTGGGATGGAGAGTAGACTATTTAATTAAGTCTTCTTGAATAGATAGTGTAATTGAAAGTTATAGCCTATTATTACTTGAAGTTGTATTACTAATAGCAGAATGCGGTCTGATTTGATGTTCCATTTCCAAACACTTAATATTAGGAACTCACAACAATGGAAATTTCTCCCGTTCATTTTCATGGAACGCAGCTCTCATTAAAGTGCAGTGGGTGCAGATTATGTTATGAGCTGTAATGGTAGAAAGGTCACTCTTCCCCACTTTGGCTTACATAACCAATTCTCTCAATGGCAGCTGTTTTCTATCTTTTGTATGACAGATGATTATGAATTTTTGCATGATTAGAATCTATTTCCACACTATAAGGAAAACAAACTAATAATTTCTGACGTTTTGTGTTAATGACATTAATCAATCTAGATATTTATTCATAAAATCTGTGATTTGGTATTATTATATATCAGTAATGGTCATTACAACCTGCAAAGCAAAGATGTACTTGCCTTTGGTCTTAGATGCAGGTGTTGCATTTTGCAAGTGCTCAGGTGAGGCTTGCCTGGTATGAAATCAACAGCTTCCCCGAAAATGGATCCAAATTCATCCAGATGGCTCATAGGACGTAGCTTACTGGGGTGTTCCCAACTGCACAGTCAGAAAACGAAACTTGGGAAAAGTCAAATAAGAGCGTCTAAGTGAAAAACTGCAAAGCTGGACAATTTGCTTCTTCAGGAACGCCGATGCACTGCTCGTGGATTGTAATCCATAATCACCCCCTGAAAATCTGCACAAAACGGGATATGTGAAAGTAAAATTGATATGGAAGCAGTGCTTATCAGTTGTCCTTGCGTCTCCTGTAGTTGACAGTGGATTTGAACAGGCTTCCTTGAGGGGGAATCCACCTTCTCTGATCTCCATAAGCCGGTGCCAATCAGGATTGGAGTGTTCCTGTTGCTTTTTTTCTCATTGACTATACTGTGGGCTAAGATTAAGATAATGCTGCTGGCATGCAACAAGTTGTTGATTAATGAATATGAATTTAATATTTTTGCAAGGCATTTTGTGTATGGACTGTGTTCAGTCACATGCAGTGTAGACTTGAACAACATTCTTTCACATCTTAGTATAATTCTAATATTTACCAGAATAGGAGCTTACTAGGAGCTGTAGAGTGCTTATTCTGCTGAACTGTCTTGCCTAGAGAGCAGTATTACACACTCACTGTTGGCTTTGGGGAAATTCTATACCGTAATAGACACTTCAAAGGACAAAGCTTCCCCTGAGGGTGAATAGTTTAAATCCAGTCAGAGGTGCCTGTGGTGTCTAGCTCTGCTTTCTCGTAATTGTAAGACATGTGCAACCACAAAAAATGTGTGGAGCAACACACTAAGCAAAACAAAGAACATCTGTTAGCACATTTTGAGTTTTTATTATCTTGAACACCTTTGTCCTAATCTAACAAGCTATCAAATGTCTATCTGACAAGTATGGTGCAGGTCACTTAGCTACTGCTGTAACTCATTGCCAGTTCACTGAAAACATAACCTGTGTGCATAGATGTGAAATGACCATCTGTCTGATAATAATGGTGCTAAATTGATGTCAATTACTAAGGTTGCCTGTGTCACAAAAGACTTACTCCCACAGCACAATTGGATGTAATGTATTTATATCTTAAGCAGCAGGTGTTACCCACTGTGCGGGTGTGCTAGAGAGGATGAAGAAATCTTGATCTTTAATGATGTTGAAACATTGTGTCACCATAACTTTGTTAGTGGCTGTCGCTTCAATGTAGATGACAACGAAGGTGGCTGGAAATCATTGTCCCAAAGGTGGCTGGAAATCATTAAACATCTCTTGTTTCCTGTAGCCTTTATATGCTCTTCTTAGAGATGCAATGAAGCCATCTGTCGGCTAACTGAAGTCGTCTTGGCCAGAATGTGTTGACAGAGGATTTGTGTCATCTAATGTACTGTTAGTCTGAGTGGACAAAGTTCACTCTGACAAAAGACAACTGGTCTGTGGAGTCTTGGGGATCAACTGGTCACCACATTCAATCAAGTAATTCAAGACAGCGTTATTACTAGAGTAACGGCAATCTCCACAGGAAAAGATATTTGACTAGAGCTACTTTTTGTGCAGATGGCTAAATTCCATCGAATCAAATTGATCATAAAACAGGACAACATGATTTAGCATGGAATTCCTCATTGGAAACCCACATACTATATCTATAAAAAAAATATCTTTGCACACCGCTTGCGCTGAATTGTATTTAAGTTGTCTGTTATTTAACTTTGTTGTTGTTGCTGCTGCACTGTGTTTAGGTTTTGGTGTTTCCTGTGTAGGACTTTGTATTGGAGCATACATGCAAATAAGAATTTCACATTTCATTGCACTTGTGCATTTGACCAATAAACTGAACTGAAATATTGTTCATTTATTGAATCCCCACCTGGTACTTATTATGTAGCTGTTATTTAATTATTTTTCTAAAACAGTAAAGTGGATGTTAAACTACAAAGAAAACTAGAAGTGGCAGATTTATTCATTTTTTTTATAACATTATTGGAAGGAATGTGTGATATTAAAGTAAAACATTCTTGCTGCATACAAAATGTAACCGTGTTTTCCTGTAGCTTGTGAACATGTAGTAGCTGTGTCTGTTTAGGAAGTAGAGTGGAATAGTGATTAGAGCTCTGGACCACAAAGCTGGGGGTTCAAAGTCTCTCTGCTGTTGTACCCTCAAACAAGACACTTCAGTCAGATTGTTATTGCAGAGCTGTCCTGATGTACAGATGGATCTCCAGTGTGTCATAGTAAATGAGAATGAACTTAGTTAACTTACTTACTTAAGGTAAAAACACTAGTCATTCCTCTATTCCTCAATCCTTTGTTTTAAAATTAAGGACAAACAAGGTAGAACAGTATGCAGGCACTTGAGGATACAGGTAAATTAATTATCCTGTAACTATAATACATGTGTGTTACAGGCAAATTGGAGTCAAACATAAAATATGAAGTTATACATAAATTACTGTAACCAAACATGTAATAACAAGAATCTTATTTAAGAAGAAAACCTACATGTTCCTGTCTTGTGTTGTAAATACGTTTGTTAATTGCATATTAAATTAATTGTAAAATACATTATTTTTGCTGTGAACTTGCTGTATCTGTATTATGAAGAATTTCCCACATTATTAATTCACTAAGAGAAGCACAGGAAAAATAACTAGTGGGTAACTGGCTGAATTAGCAGTGACATTTGAGAAATATGTGGGCCGAATCTGAAATGGTAGTTGGAGAATTGGAGAATTGGAGAGTTGGAGAGTTGGAGAATTGGAGAATTGGAGAATTCCATTGTTTAAGTCATGACGACTGGTTGGATTTGGTGCACTTGAATGTTTTCACAGAAAAAGTTTCAGTCTTGCATCCTCCTATGTGTGACTTTGAAAACGTCCCAGGAGTTGCCTCAGTATTTGGAGCGCTCTCAGCACTGCTTAGACAGGGATGGTGGGCCACCTGCAGCAAAGTGCTTGACTCAGCGAGACACATCTATCGTGAGATGTGAAGAGCAGCACGCTTTAATGTTATGCAAAATGTTCTTGCTAAAGGTAAAACACTTTTATTTGAACAGACGTGCTTTATAATTTCGCCTGGGTGTAAACACAGAGCAAATCCCATGCCAGAGTTGTTGTTTGATGTAGCTGCTACAGCCAAGTCGCCCTGCATTAGTGTCATTTAGTTCTGGCTGAAGGAACAGAGTTGAAGAAAAGATGCATTAATACTGTACAAACAGCTGAAGTGTATAGAAACTGGCATGGCTCTGTACAGAGGAAAGCATATCAGTCTAGACAGACCAAGAGTTTGTATTTTCATAGACATTAAAGACAATTAACAGACCAGAGTCAATGATCTGAGCTGCAGAAGTCTGAATGAGGGAATATATCAGAGATTCACTGCATAAGCATCCCGATCTGACTTACAGTATCTACATTTTAAAAATGATAAAGAACTTGAAGATAATTCATTTTGGTAGTCATGGAATTTCTATCCACTGCGCCAATTTTCTCCACACATCTTTTTTTGTGAGATGAAAAAAGATGTTTCTCTTTTACACACAGACAAGCACTCAGACACCTACATGTGTATGTATAACAGGTAGTATTTAAGGATTGGGTCTTCTTTAAATGTGCTTCATAATGTACAGTACATGTCTAAAATGCATTTTATAGCAGGGGAAAATAATTGTATATAACTTTCAAATATGGATATAAAATACAAAAAAATAACATAGTTGGACAAATGCTATATTTTGCTCTATATTTTTATGTATCATACATTTTGCTGGAGGCTGTCTCAGAGCCATTGGGCACTAGTTAGGAAACAAGAGCAGCTGAAAATCCAATGATTTTGGGATTGTCTCTGGGGTCTAATGCACAACGGATGCATAAATTCTAAAGTGTAAAAAAGGTTTAGGTATGTACTGTATTTGTTTTAATATGTAAGGTGACTGTAGTATATATTTTTAGTTAGTTTTGGACTTGAACATGACAGTTCCCAAAACGAATCCACAGTCACACAATTTTATAGTTCAGGTGCGTCGCTGCGTCAGCATGCGTAGGCTGCAAAGGAACAAGTGATAGGTTTATTCCCTGCTGAAAAAAGAAGAAAGAAAGAAGAAAAAAAACACAGCTCACACCTACAGAAGGCTCCACGGCCGAAACGTTGTGTTTTCTTCTTTTTTTTCAGCATGGAATAAACCTATTACTTGTTCCCACACAATTGTATTTCTCCTCTGTTAGAAAGCATGTACAGGGATCACTGCCTACAAAAAAGCAGTTATTTTTCTCTCCCCACAAGGCAGCGGACACTGTCATTGACTTGGCACCAACGATGAAGGAAAAGCCCAACCCATCAAATCTAGTGTTCGGAACAGTCTTTACTGACCACATGCTCACAATCGAATGGACATGCTCTGGAGGGTGGCAGAAACCTCACATCCGGCCGTTCCAGAACCTGTCTCTGCACCCAGCGTCCTCCAGTTTACATTACGCTGTGGAAGTGAGTATGAGCTCCAAAGGGAATTTATTTCTGTCCAGCTGTGGCAGTCAGAGTCACAGGTTATTAAAAACAGTCCTATGTTATAGTGAGTAATGAATATAATTGTGTTATTGTTCAAAGGTCACTGATATATGATATTGTAACAGTATTCCATTTGAGAGCTAGAACACATTCTTTGTTTTACTGGTTAGATGGTTAAACTATACGACCAACTGAACTTGGAAGCATAAGAAAAATACAATGCCGTTTTACCCCATCATTTAGACAGTACAATGACAAATGCAGCATTTTACAAATGTAATTATTAGATATTTACGGAGCTTCACAATGTATTTAAATCAGTTATATACAGTAGCAGCTGTAAATAGCATGAAGAGTTAATCAACTCAGCCTAGTGAAGATGAACTTGCACCACATTATACGTGTTTGATCTGTGTCCAGTATAATTTTGGAAATTAGAATATTAATCTCAACAAATCAATCAATAAATAGTTTTCTGTGATAATTATGTCCTTGATAATTCCAGCACCCATCCCAATGTGATACGAGTGAATCAGCCATTCATTCTTTTCTTACATAATCATAAAGAGTGACTTACTTCTACTGCTGCTGGAGTACAAATATCTTTTCTAAACGTATTTTTCCAACAAATAATTCTGTAATATTTTCAAGAGTGTCCTGGAGTTTGTTTTTAGGTCTGTTTTAGGGAACTCATACTGTTTTATGTCGAATACTGTACAGTAGATGTATTTTATAAGTGCTTAATCATCTTTCTTTTTCAGATTTTCAATGCTGAAAGGCACATAGAAGAAACAAAAGAAAGCATTTGTATACAACTCTATTATTTGTCATTCATTTTAAAACATCTTTAACTTTAAAGGAGTTTAATGGAGGAACAGAAATTAGCTGTGAGTCAAATTAGCTGTAAGTCATTTTAAATCAAAAGCATGAGGTTGCTTTTAAGTTATTGTAATATTTATATTGGACTAAAAAATCTTTTTAAGGGTCTTTTTAAACTTTTTCTGTTGAGTTGTTATTTGTTTCTGTTTCCTGAACTGCCTATCTCCTCCCTCCACATATACTGTAGGTGGCAGTTCAGTGTGATTGATTATTACTCGGTCTAGACAATGGCAAAATGGGCGATACAGGCCAGAGCAGAAGTGACAGTACTGAAACAGGTATATTTGCACATTTAGGTATCACTTAAAAGATAAGCAGCTTTCTTAGCAGCAAATTACAGAACAAAAAGGACACATAATGTTAACAGTGGTAATTCGTTTTTTGGTAACTGTAACGCCTATGAGTTTCAGCTGAAGTACATACTGTATTTGAGCTGAGTCTTGCAATCCCCTGGTCAGCCACAGGAGGGCCATGTGTCCTGCCGTGCCTAGTGCCACAGGACTTCAGATGTGTTCTGTAACACCACAGCAGTGAAGTTATAAATGAAACATAAAGGTTTATACATCTGCATTAATGCTGCTCTAACTGCAAGCCATTTTTTCCTACTGTTCAGTTATTTGAAGGTTTGAAAGCCTACAGGGGACCTGATAATAATATTCGACTCTTCAGGCCACTGCTGAACATGGAGAGAATGCTGAAATCTGCTCAAAGAGCATGCTTACCTGTAAGCAAAAGAAACTATTTAATAAGTATTTTATGTTTGTGTTTTTTAATCAGTTCTATAAAAGCTTTAAAGTTGCAATTGCATACCTGTAGCAATATGTTAAAATTTATTAAATAATTAGAACTCTTATCTTGAACAGCCCAGCACATCTCTGTGTTTACACATAAAGCCATAATACTTTAGAAGACACTGACATCGTCCAGCAAGTCAAAAATGCAAGGCACATCCTTTCATTCAACGTCAAATTCCCTTCTTATTTCTCCATGAAATGAATGGAAATGACGAAGGCAGAGCTTCAAAAATCTAATTACTGCAGTTATTTACTGTGCTTCACAATAGATCTCAAACAATTTCTTGTTTCCGGGTTATTGTTTTAGCTAGTGTATAAATGAGTGCCTATATAATTTATGTATCATTCATAAGGACAGAACATCCTAATGAAATATAACCACAATTAGTTCTGGAAAGCAGGAGCAGGAATTTTGCCTAACTCAGTTTCTTGCTCCACCTCAGAGCTTTGAGAAGGAGGAGCTGCTGGAGTGCATCAGGAAGCTTGTTGAAATCGATAAGGAGTGGGTGCCTTATTCTGATTCTGATAGCCTCTACGTCCGCCCGACCTTCATTGGAACTGAGGTAAGGAAATGGATACTGCATCTTATGCCTGCCCTCATACAGGGTTATCCCATCGTTAACTTGATAGAGCTCATTAATAAAACAAAATAGAATCCTTGTAAGTCACAATAAACCTCTATACCCATGAAACATTGAAATCAGAAAGCTCTACTACATTAATCCAATGATTTTTTTTAGCCCTGTACATGTAAAAACACATTTTTATAATAGCAGGTGGAGTTTTAAGATAAATGTTTAACTTAGCAGTTCAGAATTCAGAAGTAACTATTTAGGAGCTACTGTTCACTTTTGGAATAGCCTGTGCTCCAGACAAATGTTAAGATAAGATTAGCCATATACAGTTTCTTGTAATAGGAATTTGTCTTTTTTCACATACCCCAATTTGGTCTCCATGAGACACACAGACAGGGAGAAAAGCTGGGGGTCAGAGCACAGGGTCAGCCATTTATACAGCACCCCTGGAGCAGTTGGGGTTAAGGGCTTTGCTCAGGGGCCCAACGGAGCAGGATTCCTCTGCTAGCTGCAGGATATGAACCGGCATCCTTCCAGCCACAGGCACGGATCCTTAACCACAGAGCCACCGCACTGCCCAATAACTATATTTAATTCAGATCATGATTATAACGCGAATATTTATGTCATTGTTTTCTTAACCCTTTGCCATTCAGCCTTCACTGGGTGTAAAGAAACCTTCTAAAGCCCTGCTGTATGTGATCCTCTGTCCGGTTGGACCTTACTTTTCAACTGGGAGTTTTAACCCTGTGTCCTTGTGGGCGGATCCAACATACATCCGAGCCTGGAAAGGAGGGACTGGAGACTGCAAAATGGGAGGGTAAGAAAGAAAAAAAAGAGTAACAGCCTGAAAGACCAACTGATTAGACTGATAATACATAAATAGCTCACTTTCATGTTAATAGGCAATTCATGCAAGCAGATAGGAAAGATTGCTGATGACCTCTCCCACCCAGGTTACCACCTGTTTCTTAAATGTCCCTCAGGAAGATGCTACCGGCCTATTAAAACCAGAAACACCTGGTATTTGAACAGTTTCTTTTCTAGAGCTGTGTTTGTGCTTCACCTGTATTCCTAGTTGTATGAGCACTGTCTTAATGATGTCTATTGCCTCTAATGTGCATGGTATACAGTGCAGTATACAGAACAGTTTTGCAATACCAAGCACACCAGAGTAAATTTCCTGTACATTAAATGTACTTGGCGAACAAAGGTGATTCCGATTCTGATTCACAGTCAAGTTCTGGAAGTGTCAGGTAGGCTTTCTCACTTGGAGATCTTTGTGGTTTCCCACATCTTCCTGGGGGAGAGCCAAGGAGCTATGTAATGAATTGGTGTGAAGTTGGTTCCTCTCACCACAACAACTGCGCAATATGATTTATTACGCAACAACATGTATCTTTTAGAGAGTCTGGCATTTCTTCAGAACGTTCAGCCTTTTAAAATCCAAAACTGGGTAGACAAACAGCTTTTGAATTTTAACTTTGCAAATGCTATTAAATGGAAAAAACAGTGGTAAATAGCTCCAGAAATCATCATTGCAAGTTTTTTTGGACCTTCATTCTACTATAATATTCTTTCAAAAGTTCCCTGGAAAATATAAGCATGTTCTAAGCCTGTAGGGATATCGTATTTCCATGGCAAAAAACAAATAGTTGTTTTTTGATTAAGCACACAAAGTTAATAAACTGTAGACGTACAATCGTAGTCTTTTGACATGTGGCGTTTTTCTGGGACAGGTGTAGTGAAAGCATCAAGGCTTATTCATGCAGACTCTTGTATGTATGGAGCACAGCCATTGATACTACATGACCTGATTATTTAACCATGGCCTTGAAAAGAGTCAGCACTTGATAAATGTAGTAAAAGTGCTGTGCCCAAGTATTATGGAGCAGAATGTGAACTTTAAAGTAAATGCAATTATGCAGTTCTAATCCTGTGATATATTACATAATTTTAATTCTCTTTGTTAAAAAAACATAAGTGTTCAGTGAAATTAAAACAATTCATATCACTGTCAGTCCTCAGCAGGGGTCTCATTTCCCGGAAATATAATACTTGCTTGTTGAAAACTCAAGTACTGTAATTCAGTGGTCTGAGTGGTTTTATTTCACCGGGCAGTTTTGTAAACCAGCTGTGAAATTGAAGTGTACAGTATGTATTTCTAAATCCAACATAAACATGTTATGACACTGTTCTGGCCTGGGGAACATTGTGGCTGCGAGACAGACTGAGGAATCCGATTGATTGGTGTGGGTGAAGATGAGCAGAGGTGAGGAGGAGGTGTTGGACAGACCGACAGAGCAGGGAATGTGCTGCACAGCAAGGCAGACCAGTGGATGTACTGGACTGACAGGCACAGTAGGGGATGTGCTGGACTGACAGGTAGAGCACAGGAAAGGCTGCACAGTCAGGCAGAACAGGGAGATTGCTCCCTGACCTGATTGTACATCAAGTCTTGATTCAGATGTGGGATCAAAAGGCTATGACATTTTCAGACAGATTGCAGGATAACTTTCAGGAGCACTTCAATTCCCTATGGGTGAAGGGTGAGTGTCCGCTGGAGGAAAGAACAGGGCTGATAAATATCCAGCCCTGATAAAATAATCACCTGTTACCCGAGGGCAGGTGGCATGTGCAGGTGACCGTATTCTCACGACACCAGGTGCTGTTTGACTCCACCGATGAACAAGGCCAGTTGCTATGGAGACCAGAAACTGTGAGCTTGGCATTGCCCGGGTGTAACAATATCCCAGAAATATTTCATAAGCAGGTCATTTGTAAGACTGGAGTTTTTCTTAAACTTTTTAAAATATATTCCTCTGTTCCCTCCCTGAATCACGTTGTATACTGTAATATATGGAGAGACATTAAAAACAAATGTTATTTGTACTAAAACTCATCTGCATTTGTGAGGCCTCTCAGTATGTAAAGAACAACTTTTATAAGATAATTAGATATAATTAGTATTTGTGCAGGGGCAAATGGGATGAAGATAGCTGAAGTGGTTTGGTAAGAGACTCTTGGTGCCCTTTCTGGCTAAATCTTGATGAGGGACTGTGGATATCCAATCCTGATCCAGAGAGCTGGTGTGTCTGTAGGTCTACTGTGTCTCCTTAAATCAGCTGCAGGTCTGCTGTGTCTCTTTAAATCTGGAGAACCTGACAAATAAACCTGATAACGAGCTGATTTAGAGGCAAAATTAAATGGAAACCTGTAAACTCGCAGTCTCTGCAGGACCAGGAGTCAAGCCTTGCTTGGGGTGGTCTTCATACAGATGTGAATTGATGAAGTCTGAAGATGACAATAATATTATGAATATGGGCACATCCCATATAGCTGCATCAGCATTGGTAACGTGTATTTGGTCAATGGATAGGAAACAGACGACAGACAAGGGATGTATGCTTAACTTGGGGATATGTAATTAGTGGAGTACCACAGGGATCTGTACTAGGACAAATGTTCTACCTAATATATACAGTTTATCAATGATCAAGATACTGATGTAGTTATTAAACTATTCCAGTTCGCATATGATACAAAAATAATGATTACCAAGCAATTTAAGAGCAGCAAATTAAATTTAAAAAGATTTATATAATTGTTGTGTGCAAAAAGTGGGCAAACATCTGGCCAATGACCCATAATACAGACTAGTACAGAGTATTATGTACATGTAGCAAATAATAAACCATAGATGCACTGAGCTTGACAAGGGTACTTATGAGAAATACATAGGTGTTTACATAGGACATTTACATCTTCTATCTAGACAATGTGGGGAAGGAATACAAAAGACAGGATTTTATATAGTAATATATAAAGTTACTACTGTATATAGTGTAGGTTAAACTTTAAATGGGATGTTGTATTAAAAATATACACTGCATTTAATTAGAATATGGTGTGAATTTTTGGTCATCATGTTACAGAACGATAATGTAGCTCCAGGCAAAAACAGCCATGTCCAGGTCAAATGAAGGTCCAGCTTCAATGGGCTAAAAGATGGCACCTATTGTTTGTAATTGTTCTTATGTTCTTACTGTCAATTAGAATGTATTTGAAGAAACTGTGAGAACAGTTTAAAGACATCTAATAGAGCCAGTGAATTTGTGGACAATAGCACAAGAATAAATTGTTCTGTCATTGTATGTTTATTATCCAGTAATTTGCTCATCACATGACCCAATACACATGCGACACAGAGCTCTATTTTTCGGATTCTGATTTTACTTTTAAAGGAATTATGGCGCTTCCCTGTACGCGCAGTATGAAGCAATGGAACGTGGATGCCAGCAAGTCCTCTGGCTTTATGGAGAGGACCATCAGATAACTGAAGTGGGAACCATGAACCTCTTTCTTTACTGGATAAATGAGAATGGAGGTAATAATATTTGTTTTCCTAAACTCAAGAGAGAACTGAAAGCATATTGGACATTCAAAAACAATGTTTTTGAATGTAGTCATTCAAACATTGTAGTCATGAAAGTACCTTGTCACATTCTGATTAAACAGTTCACATTTCTTTATAGTTTCCTGCCACAGGCGGAGCCCCCGCTTTCCCATTTTACAAAGAGTATTTGTTAGAATGAAAATGAAAGAAATCAAAAGCTATATAATGTATATAACATGAGCTACATGATCCAGTTTAAGGGTAGCTCACATGTAAGAACCAATGCTACAATGTGAACCATGATATCTACTGAATCATTAACAGTTTCTAATTAACATCAACCATTAAAATTATTTGCTGCAATGGCTGTTAATCTGTTAACTCTTCTATGGTAAGATTATAAGCAACAACATTGGCCTAAATATATTTAGCTGATTTCTTGCCTCTATATTGTGGATAAATCCCACTAAGCCTCCTACAGATTCAAAGTGTAGTTGAGAAGAGTTTGCAAGCAGTTGTAAGCTGATACAACAGAGTGTACTGCCAAAACTGAAACGTGATGAGAAAGGCTTGGGTACAGAATTCCAAGGCACAGCTTCATCTCCACCTGTTGAGTGGGACAAGCCAGTCAAAAAGACAGGGCCCATCAGACGATACTATCGGCATACAAGAAGATTAGTCTGAACGCCTTTTCATATAATCTTCCAAGAGTGATTACAATTAAAAGGAAAGATCTTTAAAATAACAAAATGGTCTTCATTCACTTTTTATGTAAAGATCTTTAAATCAAATGTGAATTGTAGCTTCTTTTTTTGGTTCTATTCGAGTTTGTCTTTGTATAAGGTCATGTGCATTGTATATTCCTTCCAGTATGGAATTGGCAGCCAGTAATTGAATTCACGACTAACCCCTGCGTGCTTTCTCATACAAGAAAGCTTGCATCATGGAGCCATCTGCTTCTTATTCACACTGGGAGTGGCTTCAGGGGAGTGGGCATCCACAGCTGAGGGCTTCAGCTTTCTCTTAGAGAAGCCAGGGGCATCCTGTCAGACTGACAACAGTCAGATGCTCAGAACAGCTCTACGTAATGGAGTTTTAAACGAATGATGGGGAGGAGATCCTCCACTAAAATTTCTCACTTCCATTCACCAAAGTATCACGACTCCAGTGCACCTGCTGGTTCGTTATTCATCCCTCTCTCCGTCTTCTGCTGGCCCTCCATGACTCATCCCCTGTAAATCGATGGGGCACTCCAAAAGCCTTGTCCTTACAGTCAGGGTACTGTTCCCTCAGCCAGGTTAAGCCAATAAATCAGTTTAATTCAAATTATGTCAGCTTAATTAAGGTTTAGCTGAATGATTGAATAAAGATTTGAAGGCTCACAAACGTGTCCTTACAAGTGACTCGGACGTGTCATTCCAGGCCAGAGAAATCCAGTGAAAAACATCCATCTATCCATTCACAGCGCTAACCACTGCGCCAATGTGCCACCCAAAAATAAACATTTGAAATAAAACGTATTCCTGGTTGAAAATGAAAAACGCTCAAATTATTTTTGTCATTACTCTGACTCTCAGCTAAATTATGAGTCTAAAGTATATGCTGGTTCCCTAAACTCTGCCCTGTTTAGAGAAGGCATCCGCAGGGAAAGATGTTTCAGTCACGCCGCTTCAGAATTTCACTGTTCGCAAGGTACTGTGTAGTTTCCGGCATTCAGAATAATTTTTTATTTTTCGTTAGAGGAAGAGCTGGCGACTCCACCATTGGACGGGGTCATTTTACCTGGTGTTACTCGACAGAGTATTATTGAGCTCTGCCAAAAGTGGGTAAGGAATGGTTTTCTTCACTGAACAAGTCCGAACTTCGTGACCTGGGGGGGAAAATGTCTCCTACTGGAGAACTAGCATTATGCACTGTGATGTAATCAACTTCTGCATTCACATTGCCTTCAGGAATTAAAAAAAAAAAACACATTTTAGACTGAAATATCATAAACATAGCCTTGCCTTTCACGTACAGTCTTGTGGAATGTTTTTATAAAAACGTGAGTCTCGGTTACAGTTGTATTCATTGACAGAATGAAATTTCCCCTTTTGCTGTGACTCATTAAAACAAAATGTAGAACTCTGAGCATTGCATCTGTAGTTAAGGTGACAGCTAAGGACATGGAAACTCAGCGATAACATGTATTTGATAGAATCGTGGGCTGGAGTGGTGTGTTGATTCCCCATTTGTCCATATGAGTGGTGAGTGGAAGATGGACTCGCTTCCTTGACTTGGCACCAGGCAGGTACCCTGACTCTGCTGGAACCCTGCCAGATACACATATAACACAGAAGATACTAGATGCCTGTCTTTTGTTGAAGCAAAGCTTTATTAATTTGGAAGAACGCAAATTATGTACACCTCACTGTTCAAGAACAAAGACATATGACTTTTTTGTGACAGTGTGTGTCAAGTGTGTGACAGTGGGGATGCAGAAGCTTTCTGCTGCTATGCCATGAATTACCTGGATATGATCAGCATAGAATTAGAGGAGTTCTTTATTGTTGGAGATTATACAGTATATTCAGGGCTAGGTCATTGGTTGACTTCATTAGTATTTCACTGATGAGCTCTTCTGTTAAAACTTCTATGGTGGACATGAGGTGTTGTTGGATTTTTAAATGTGGTCTTTTCAGGGTATAGTGAATATGTAATATATCTAACATCTTTTGTCGAGAGATATCCCATGTATTAGAATAAGAATAACGCCATGGTTCTGGTTAAATATGACTGAATCCGTTGGTGGACCTTTTTTTCTTTAAATTATTGCAGAGCTGTTAAAAGTGTTTGTCTAGGACAATGGTGTATCATATAAGCTGTAGGTGGAAAGATATGTGCTTTTAACACTACAATCTGATGCTTTATAGCAGAGGTTGAGATACAGTGGGGGTGTATAGAAAAATTGGATCAACTACTTGCAAGATATGTTTTCTTAAGTGCTTAATGTTGCTCTTTGTGAAGGCACTAAAATCTAAAATATGAAGGAAACTGTTTTTTTCTTTTTTTCCTTATAGTATACTCCAATCATGATGTGATGCAGACGTGAGCCTTATCATGAGAGTATTTAAAAAACGTACAAGGAGTTTATGGAAAGATTGGGGATGGCAGATATGCCAAAAGTATTTTTCTGAGGAAGGAGCAGCCGTCACTGACAGAATGAAACTCCTGCCCATGTGGCTGATACATAAAGTCTAGTGAGATGAACTGTAACATCACATTTCTGGAGATATTTCAGTCTTATACACTATTTGTGTTGTGTGCAGAACAGATCAGCACCATGGATAGTACCATAAATATATTCTACCATTCAATACAAAAGTACATTACTAAATAGTAATCATTCTGTTTTCCTACAGGATATCCTACAGTGGATGCAATTCTTAATTTTCTTATATTTCAAAATGCACATATGCGCCCATTGGAAACAGAGACCATGCTAATTGGGAAATGTGCAACACCATGCTGTTGTGATCAATGCTGCACAGCATATTGAGAACGCGGTGTTGTACCTCTTTTGTCACTCTCCTTCCCAGGGCGAATTTAAAGTGTCAGAGCGTTACCTAACCATGGCAGACCTGTTGACTGCTCTGAGAGAGGAGCGAGTGAAGGAGATGTTCGGCTCTGGAACGGCCTGTGTAGTGTGCCCAGTGGGACGCATACTGTACCAGGAAGAAGTAAGACATGGATTTATCGCTGCACTGAAGATCAGAGCAAAGGGCAAAAGTCAGATTATTTGTCATAGAAATATCAAAGACGTTCCGAATTCCTGAAGATAGCCTGTTACAAATCTCATAGAGCACATCAGAAGAGGCTACAGACTCAATTAGCACGTAACATACTGCAGTGGTTCAGACAGATCTAAGTAAGATGTTATCATAGAAGCAATTGATTAGATTTAGATTTTTCTCACCTACCTCACTGAGGGATCAATACGCTGGCCGTGGGGAGCAGGTCGCCAGAATCCCTCTGGTAGGTACTTCTACCAGGGTATGGAGGGGTGTGAGGCAGTGAACATCGGGACCTGATGGATGAGAAGGGGCAAGGTTATGGCAGTTCGAGTGGGGATCTGCTTCAGAAAGCTTTGGCTGCAAAGAAACAAGTCAGGCTTATTTCCGTGCTGCAAAATAGAAAGGAGAAACGCAACATTTTGCTATTTAACCTTCTTCGGGCGTGAACTGAAGGAGTTTCAGCAGCTGAAATGTTGTGTTTCTCCTTTCTATTTTTTAAGGTTAGGGCTGCTCTCCATTTTGAACTGTCAAGAAAAACTCCTTGAAGTATGTCACTAGAATTTCGTTCATGTTGAAATGCCAGCAAAAACAAAAAAACACCATACAAGTACATTGGACTTCCTCATGCCACATTAGAGTAAAATACTCACCATAAAGATGAAAGTAATTCTCCCCATTCTTATTTCTAGAATTTGCATATCCCTACTATGGATAATGGACCAAAGTTGGCAACAAGAATACTGAAGCAGCTCACAGACATCCAAGTAAGAGTCTTGTTCAAGATTTTTTAAATTCTTTTCCAAGGTTTGAATAATTATTTCATCTAGAATTTTTTTTTTTCCGTTTAAAGGGACTCCTTCTGTGATTTATAATTATTCATGACAGTATACTCATTACATTGATGGCATTGCAAAGGTGCCGTTTACTACCTGACAATTGCATATGTATTGACAGCTGGCCTGTTGCTGCCAGTTTGCTGTCCACATCTGAAGGAGAAACAGTCCATAGAGCTGTCAATAGTAATGCAGAGTGTTAATGCAGAAAATGTGCTTTAAACTAAATTAATAAAACTGTTGAGGCATATGTGCTTCAGGATCTAAACAAAAAACTGTCAGGTCTATAAGTGCACATCTTCTTGAAGACAAGTTAAGAGTCTGATATCTGTGCTTGTTCTTTCATGCTTTCATGATAAATGAAAGTGAGGGCAGATATGCCAAACAACATACGACAAACAAAGAGCCCTAGTAATTATCATATCTTTTCTTCTAAATCACTCTGTTGTTGGGCTCTGGATTTATTGATGCAATCTCTAAGCCTCATGCTCCAGCTTTTTACCTCCTCATCAGGCTGACTTTGAAAGGTTAATGTTGTATTAATAGTTGCCATGGGATATCAGAGAAGAGATAACGGCAAACATTGCTCTTGAAAGCCGATATTAAGCACTAGATGTAATTACAAAAAGTAATTATTGTTTCAGCTTTTGTGAACTTCAAAGCAAAGATGTTTCAAATGAAGGCATCGAGAACAAAGCCGCATGAAAGGCTAATGAACAATAAAATTAGTAAATCATAGAAAAGAGTGGGATAATGTTAAATCTGTTGACATTTAATTTTTGATGGAAACAGAATTCATCCCTTCCGAAGACAAAGCGTTGTGCAAATAAATTCTGTGTCTCAGGAAAGACGGTTGATGAAGGATTGTTTTCCAAATGCGGCTTTTTGTTTTGCTTATGGTGCTTTCATGTTAATTGGAAAATTGGATTTTTGCAGACAATTATTTAGTTTTTCTTTCATTATGTAGAACTAATTTACCATATCCAGCAGAAATAATTTCCACAGAGTCTTTAATATTTGCAATGTTTATATTTCTCTATCCCTACCTTGTATCAGCAAAAATGCTGTAAGAAAAATAGTTTTTTTTCAGAGACTTAATGATCTCATTTATTTATATTTTTAGTGAAAAGCTGTTCTCACACTTGTACAGTCGCTCTAAATAGAAAACCTCAAGATTGAATTTACAGTGACTAAATTGTAGATTTAAAATCGAGGCAAGATGACTCAAAACAATAGAATTTGGAGTCTGAGTTTTGTGTTTAACAGTATTCAGCTCTGTAACCAGTATGTACTCATAGTATTTTGTGGTCCTTGGCTGCATTATGCTTCTATTTCCAGGTACACCCTTCTGTTGCTTGGGATAAAGTGTATGAAGCCCTCTAACATGTAACTCTGAGAATGTTTTTGTTCATACTTTGTTTATAAAAGTATATGTTTTCTTTTATTTTAGTATGGTAGAGTTCCGAGTGACTGGACAAACATGGTGTAGTGAAGATGGAGGAGGCTGGGCTGAGTTCTCTCACACGTGTACTGTATGCACTTCTGCTGAGCACAGTGCTGAAACATTCAGCCAAAAGCACAATGCTACATACTACACACAGTAGGGTAGTTTTGTTAACTTTAACCTGAAAATACAGTGGATTTCCTCAAAGTGATGTTACAGTAGATGTAGTTTGGTATATAATAGTTGTAACATGAAGGCCATATGCAGTTCCTCCAATTTTACCTGTTTAAGACACATGTAGAATGAGATTACCTGGTGAAACTGATTAAAAGTAGATTTAACATGAAACAAAATCAAAAACGAAATCTGAAAAGTATCATGGGTAAAAGGAATAAGTGCTGAGAATCAGTTTACATTTTTTGTAGAGTATCAGACATCTTGTGTATCATAAAAGTTTATAACAATAAGTAATAATTTTATTCTGCCAGAATTCTGTGTACTTGTTTCATCCCTGGTCTTAGGCAGTGGGGAGCCAGTTAAGTAAAGGCTCTTCTAAAGATGGATTTGAAGGAGTTTAGAGAAGGTGACTCTCTGATATCCTTGGGCAGAGAGTTTCAGAGCTTTTGGGCATAACAGGAGAAGGTTTTGTCACCCATACAATGTACAGTAGATGGGCTTGGGGGACTACCAGAATTAGAGAATACCAGAATTAGAAGAGCGAAGGTTGCGAGGTGTAGAGTAGGGTGATAAAAGCTCAGACAGGTACCAAGCCATGCAGAGTGTCACAAAGCAGTTTCTTCCGGGCCCTATGCGGACGACGCGATCCAGAATAGTGAAGATACACGAGGGAAAATGTCATGCAGGAAAGTGTCAGGATACATAGGGGCGTGTTCAAGGTGAGCTGGTGTCCTGGGGAAGTGAGTCCGGGTGAACAAACAAAGCCGAAGTCCAAACGGGGAATCCAAACGGGAGAGAAGAGTCCAAAGCCAGGAGATCCATCCAGGGGTTAAAACCATGAGCCGGGTCGGGACCAGCGGGGCAGGGGATCAGGAACAGAAAGTTAAAACCATAACGGAGCCAGATGTAGCAGGACCCCGGGTCTGGCTTTTAAGGGGGAGCGGGAATAGGGAACAGGTGCAGACAATGGGAGGGAACAAGGAAGGGCTGGAGCGCCCTTAAGAGGAGGGGTTAGCGATCGTGACACAGAGGCTTATAGGTGAGCAGGAGGATTTTGAAGTCAACACGAAACTTGACAGGAAGCCAGTGCAAGGACTCCAGGATAGGAGTAATGTGATCACTTGCACTAGAACTGGTCAGGATTCTGGCGGCCACATTTTGGACATGCTGGAGTTTGTTCAATTTGGATTTAGACACCTCAGTGAGTAGAGCAGTACAGTAGTCAATTCGGGAGAAGACAAATGTGTTGATCAGCTTTTCAGCCACAGTTAGTGATAGCGATATTTCTGAGGTGAAAGAAGATTGTTTTAACAATATGCTGCACATGTGGGTCAAATGTTAATCCTGAATTAAGTATCACCCCAAGGTTTTTCAATTTAGACTAAAGCTCAAGTACAGAACCATCCACAGACAGGGTTACAGGATTGGCTTTACAAAGTTGCTGGGGTTGCCAATAAGCATAACTTTTTGTCACAGTTAAGATGAAGGAAATTTTGAGTCACCCAGGTGTTTATGTCAGAGATGCAATTATATAGTTTTGACACAGCTACATCAGTGTCAGGTTTGGTATGGATGCATATTTTAGTATCATCAGCATAGAAATGATAGTTGAGGCCATCTGATCTTGAAAGCTGACTAAGTGGAAACATGTGAATGCTGAAGAGCAAGGGGTCCAGTATTGAGCCCTGAGGAACACCAGACTTAAGACCAAATTCTGACCTAAGTCCGCCAAGAGAGACAAAGTGACAGCGATCAGTGAGGTAAGACTTGAACCATTTGAAAGCATTGTCAGAAACTCCAAAACACAGTCTCAAGGCGAGAAAGTAAGATGTCATGTTAACAATGTCAAAACCAGCACTGAGATCAAGAAGAATAAGGATAGAGAGAGAACCAGAATCAGAAGCTATTAGAAGATCTTTAGTGACTATGACCAGGGCAATTTTGTTGCTTGAAGTTGACAGATTGAAGGGGTTCGAAAAGATTATTTACAGTGAGGTGGTTGTGTAATTGAAATGTGACAGCATGTTCTACAATTTTTGCAAGAAAGGGTCAGTTGGAGATGGGGTAAAAATTGTTTAGATTGTCCAGAGCCATGCTAGGCTTTTTTGGCACGGGGGTAATGGCAGCAGTTTTGAGGACTGTTGGTACTGTACAAGGGGTTGGTTGGTACCAGTGCTCAAGGATTCATTTATTATATTGAGGACAATGGGGCAGAGAGAAGAGAAACAGGACTGAAATAAAGTGGTGGGAATGGGATCTAAACTAGAATCAGTGGTTTTCATGTGTGAAACTAGTTTACTAAGGGATGCAGTCAAGAAGAGAGAAGTTGGAGAGAAGGGAACCAGAAAAGTTCGATAAGCAGGGAGGAAGTGTGGGAATTATACTGTATGTGTTGTGAAGAGAATGTGATGCTGGATGTTTGATCTTGGAGCTAAACAAAATCTATTGTATTCTTATATTCAGACAAGCGATCTTTCCAAGCCTGATAATATACATTTAGGCCAGAAAGA